CTGATGCACTCTATGAGGAAAACATTTAACTATTTGAAATGGTATTTAAATGGAGATTGTGGTGAAATCAGTTACATATTATTAGAGTGCATTAAAATTAAAAATTAATATAAGAATACTTAGAACAAAACAGTATATATATTTGACACCTATTGAACAGCTTTTAGGAATTAAGATGTATAAATAAGGTCATAATGCATTCTTTCTGAGCGTCTATAAAACTATCTACATGACATAATGTATCAATACGTTTTCGCCTATTGAGCAAACCATCATCAAATATCTAATTAAGATTGAACATGTTTCACATTTCTGTAAACAGGACTGAAATATGTTTGATTTAAAAAATAATGACAGTGTACCAAATAGGCTATATATTTTGATAAAGTGTAATGGAGTTGTTAGTAAATGATTTTATTTTTACACCTTGCACTGACTTTGATGTTCCGTAGTATTGTGTCATATGTATATAGCTGTTAATATTACTGTACATTTATTTGATTGTAAATAGGTTTTATGGGCAGCACTGGGTTATCGAGAAGTGATGAGGAGGATATTTCATTACTTATTTCTTATTTCCTTAATTTTGAAGTGCTCAGTGTTTATTTTTATTTCTCTACTAAAGGGAAATGAACACAAACACCCTACAAAGATTGCTATTACTCCATGTGCAGTTGATAACTATTATGATAGCAGCGACTGTCCCTTTGCTGGCAATGGTGGCCTAGTGACAACAGCTAACTTTTTTACAAGCAAGCTGGTCGATTGGTAGAATGCTGAGCATCAGTCTCCGAGGTCCTGGGTTTAAAACCCACCAATCGCCATTTAGATTTTTTGATAATAGAATGTGAGGCATAAAAAATGTCATCATATATTATAGTTAAATGAATCACAATAATAGTGTGGAATTCCCGTCCCAAAAATATTCAAATTCCACCCATAATCTGTAAACGATTTTCTATGAAAAATATTTAACGTTTGGGTCTTGGGACATCCCTAATTGTAAGGTATAAATCCAGACAAACAATGTCAAATATCTTACTTTACTTACTTAATTACGAGGGTTGTTTTTTTTTTCAACCTCCGATAGGCTATGAACAAAAGACAAGTTCATATAAAACATTAAATTTATTACCAAAAGTTTGGTCTATTTATGGTTACTTTTTGACATAATCACCAAAGAGATTGAGACATTTGCTATATCTGTGCACCAGCTTTTTAATACCCTCTTCAAGAAAAGTGGCCGCGCCATAGAGTGTTTTAATTCTCTATAGGCTTAGATCTATCAATGCACAGATTTATCTACTCATAAAATACTCAATGTCTACTATATTAATGCCATGTACTGATGTATGGTATTACATTTTGTATGTTTTTTGTTGATTTTAATATTTTTTTATATTGAGTCTTTCAAATATTGTGTGAATGTTATTATAATTGTTTTTTATCTCAGATATGTAACTTGTTTTTAAATATTTAAAAATTCCTAGTAGGTTTTTAAATCATCAGTTACCTACTCTACAACTCGGAATAAAATTACCAAGACTTAACCCAAAGCTGTAGAAAAACTTAAATATTTGTGAATTTTAGAGAGGCTCGTATTTCTTTCACAAGTTTACTGATGATAGTATACCAAGATTGCCAAGTTTAAAGAACATTAGATACTTTATTTTTATAAAGAGTTACATCAGTAAACTACTGAAGCTTGACAATTAATTATGTCGTTGATCTATGTTTATTGTTGTACTTTTTTGTTACTAGTACTGGTATACTATTGAACAAACTGTAAAGTGATTGTAAAAAATAAACAAGAATATATGTTGTTTGATATTAAATGTTACCTTTCATAGCACCATTGACTATTGGATAGTCAAAGATAGTACTATAATTGACATCAAATATACTCTACTATACTTCGTTCACAATATTTAGGCAGTTTGAGGGGAAGTTCCCCCACCAATTTTTTTAATTTAATGTATGTTGCTTAATCAGCTGTTAAGCTATTATTTTAAAGGTAAGGGCCAATTGGAGAGGATAGATTTCTTCCCCTAAAATCACCTAATAGGAACGAAGTATAATTGTAGTGAATATATTATAGTGTGTAAATATAATATACTATAGGGAGTGTACTTGTAAGGTCCTGACTTCAAACAAATCAGCTGGTTAGCGTTTACAGGCAGAAAATTATTTTGTACCAAATAGTCCATTATTAATACGTTCATGCGGCTGTGAGATGGCCGGCCACGACCGGTGGCGTGAACAGCTGATGCGCTGTATGGATGAGTTCACAAAAACTTTTAAATTTAGTTTCATCCAAATGAGAGACATATACTGCGTCCCAGTCGTCGTAGACGTAGTTTTACAGGAACCCAACAAATAGCAGCACTAAACAATACTGCTAGCTGGCCCTCATTATTGTCAAATGGAGAGAAAAACCAGGCGTGAAGTACCTGGATACACCGTAAAAAAATACCGCAAAAAAGCAAAATACCACAATGCTACAACAGTACATTATTTATCGTTATTCTATTACAATGTCATTAGATCCAAGCCTGAACCCCAGACTACAATAATTTATTAACAATCCCTACCACCGATAAAATAGTCAGATCTGACAATGAATTGTACCAGATTGAAGTATAAAACTAAACTGGCACAAAAAGCATCAAGCAAAACAACTCTCTTGGCAGTGGCTAAACTTGCAATGGGACAATAGTTTGAAAACGGCGCTTTGACGAGCATACTCTCGCTTGCTACTGGAAAAGGCTAGCGTTGACGAGATTACTCGTCATGCGCAGTGAACGTGTTAACCACTTTGATAGGCTTATGTCTGGATCTTCAAAGGTTTAGTTGATACATTATTTTTAATCTTTAGGATGTTTTTCCAAAGCTTAATATTAACATATTTAAAAACGTTCTCTTTTCTACATAGATAGTGAGATTGAGATTAGAGATTTATACGATGCATAGACACATCAGGGTATGTTTTTCAAGGTAAAGATGAGTGAATACATAGACTAACCAACACAAGTAGACTTGTCATCCCATTGTAAATTTTGAAGCACGTTTTTCGTGTCTAGTTCATGTACGGTGACACTGGGCTCTAGTGTCGACAAAATTTTGTTTCTATTATTTTTGGGTTAATTACTTGATTTGTGCGTTAGGTACTGTTTGGTTATACAGGGTGGTAAAAAAGTCCCAGGACAGTTAAATATTTTAAATAATAATGCAAATAGAGCTACAATACTTGGTACAAAGTTACAGGGCATAAAACTCTATTTTAACATATATTCAGTGATCCAATAACTCTTCAGGGGGACGGCCCACAAGGAGTCGGAAGAAAATCTTAAATGGAAGCATAGGTCAATATGCACATCAAATTAAAGGTCTTTTTTAGTAGAATACAATGCCGCAAACCGCACTTCAAAGGGTTGAACCTGCGCAAAATGACAGTTGTTCAAAGATGCATTTAATTAACATTTCTATTATACGCTTACTCCTCAGGGGGCACAGCCCTAGGAATCGGAAGAAAATTGTTAACGTAAGCATAGGTCGATATGCACATCAAATTAAAGGTCTTCACTAGTAGATTACGATGCCGTAAATTCAAGCACAAAAGAATGCCTGAGTAAAAAATGGCAGTCGTTCAAAGATTCAAAATGGCGGATTCAAGAAATCTTTGAACATCTGCCATTTTGCGCAGGATCAACCTTTTGAAGTGCGGTTTGCGGCATTATATTCTACTAAAAAAGATCTTAATTTTATGTGCAAATTGACCTATGATTCTATTTAAGATTTTCTTCCGACTCCTTGTGGGCCGTCCCCCTGAAGAGTTATTGGATCACTGAATATGTGTAAAAATAGATTTTTATGACCTGTAACTTTGTACCAAGTATTGTAGCTCTATCTACATTATTTTTAAAAATATTTAACTGTCCTGGGACTTTTTTACCACCCTGTATAACTAGGAGACAAGTTATTGTTTATGATTAGATCGTATTATTTGGTTAAACGAGGTTTTAAATTACTGTAATAACTGGAAACAAATTGTAAACAAAACACGACCTCTACATAAACCGTACAGAACTAACAATAAAATTGTCTTCAGCTGTTGCATAAGGATGAGAAATCTACTTGGGGGAGTATGTTTTATCTATGGTGAATACTAGCTTGGTACTGACCAAGATCAGATGGTTTTATCATTAATCATCATTTTTAGATCGTGATTCCACTATAAACTGTAGGTCCTTAGTTGCCATTAGCTGTATGGGCTATTAATAACCAGCTGTGTCTAAGGAATGTCGTCGGTCTTAGTCACTAACAAGACTACAAGATCGCGCCACTCATCCTACACTCATCTCCATTCATACTTGGCTTAAAATACCTACTTTGTATGGTCGCCATTTAATTACAAAGTATTAAGTATTTAAGTACTGAGGAGAAAAGTCAGTTGATGTTATAAACTGTTATTTTTTAACCAAAATAATCACAACAAACCAATACCCCCACCACAGCAAACCTACAGACTAAAGTAATTTCCATTTACCTGGCTATATTTCTACTAAAATTGTAGGATTTATTTACTACTTAACACTTAAAGTGCCGTTGACATGTTTGAACATGAAAATTGCATTTATTTCAATGTTAAGCAATGGCGGGAATTCCCGTCATCAGCACCCAACGTGTTAAATAACACAAATTTTAATGAGTACTTAGGTTTGCTACAGGTAAGTTGATGGGGTGTTTTTTAATTGAAATGTTGATGGCTTATTATAAAAAAAAAAACATTGAAAAACTTGATTGGAATATATCCATAAACAAGCAAACTACAACAGTTTTTTATCCTTCATAAGAACATAACAGACACATCTATGAATTTTCTAGATAATTCGTACAAAATATATCCTTCTTTTCCAAAATATTTAAAAACACAGCACTAAATCAAATTTCAATATGAGGCACACTCAATCTTGTTAAAATGAAAAGACCAAAGATTATCAATTATAAAATATTTATTCTTATATATATACAGAGGTTTGTGAAAATACTCATTCGCTTTCTAGTGTGAGTGTCTATTTCTCATGTTACACACATAACAGAGCCCATCACACCGGGTACACAAGTCGACCAGTCGCCAGATGCCACAGCAGACTGCCCCAGGGTAGAGGGGAGGGAGGAGTTACGATGTCTGATCTACAAGCCTTCACCGTCTCCCACCACGAGTCTTGCGTAGGACTGGCTACAAGCACAAACTCACTTCCTCTCACAATCTTGGGACTGAGTCTTACTGATCCTACGGCAAACAAACCACAAGTCATATTTTAAGGATAGTTACAGATAAACAACCACTAAGAAACCACTTTGCAGATGGCGTGAAAACGCTGTACTATCCCCGAAGTAGGCTGTAAGCACAGACCGTTAATGTCGGGGATGTGAGGAGCGTAAGTTTCAAGTATAAGGCGATTTAGTGGCAACCAACATTTTTTGGAAAGCCATTAATTTCCATTATAATCCACTCTTTTGTCTATCACGCTGCACAAGGCACAAGTGCCTAAGGTTGTTTTACTGTATCACAGCTTGCCACAGAAAATTTGGGTCCAAGGTACTAACAGATACATAAAAGATCAACACAATATAATGCTGATTATTTAAATCCTATATACAGATTCCATACATAACAGCTTAGCTTTGACTTTGACTTAAGTATCAATTAGTCAAAGATAATAGACATACATTGATGAGAAGTAAACCTACTATATTCATCAATGGGCTGTCAGTCTATCATGTGGGGTACGCACATTAAATACAGTAAAACTCCAACCATCCAGAATAGTTTATCAAGGTAAAAATTGATAAATTTGACTGCAACAATTAATTTTGTCTACATTTGGCAAAGTGGCATTTTGTTCACTAGATTTGTTTGTAAAACAGCTAATTCCTCAACATTTTACTTCGTTCACTTTTGCAATTTTGTCTTGTTTGGTTGCAGTGAGGAAAAGTAGGGGGCAAACGCAAACCACTCCGGAAGACGACAGAACAAAACAATGATTAGGTTAGTTAATTTTAATTTAATAAAAATCAATAGGGAATTGGCAGCACAATAATATGTAGATTAAACTAATCTTTACATGTAAAATGTAGTAAATAAACAAAATACCCCCGCCGCAGCAAACCTGCAGACTAAGCGAATTTCAACTCGTCTGATTACATTTTTACTAAAATATTTCCATACATAAGACATATTATTCCCTATTTAAATAACATTAGATTAAAGAGTGCTTAGGTTTGCTGCTACGGGGAAGGTAAAAAGTGTTTTTTGACCATACGTCAATAGTATAGGATGAAATAAATAAATTTGCCAAATTTTATCAATATATACCCATAAACAAGTAAACTACAACAATTTTCATTTTCTCCACAAGAATAACATGGGAATTTTTAATTACACTATTTTTGAATTTTCTCCGTGACCGTTAGGCATACAACAGCGCTTCAATATACTACATTATTTCTTTTTTTAAGCTCTACAAAACGGTTTAGAAAGAAATCGCAAAATCTTTTGTTTTTAGGTTCAAAAATGGGAAAAACCCATTTTTACCCCATAAAACCCCCCATAAACCCCCGTTCCCATGGTCTGATTATGCTGGATCGCGAACTCGTTCGAATAAACGTAGGTTTACACGTTTGTACCAAATTTCATCAAAATCGGATCATTTTTGCTCGAGTTATCGCGCTAACGGACACATATATATATATATATATATAAATATATATATAAATATATATATAAATATATATATAAATATATATATAAATATATATATAAATATATAAATATATATATAAATATATATATATATATATGAATTTGAACGGATGGTGTTTTTGGCCTCTAGGGACCTCAAAATGAAAAATTAAATCGGTCTCGGGTCCAGGTCTTACCATGAGTACTACGGTAATAGCTTATTCCCTATATGGGAAATTCGCTAAAAAGGAATGTTTTGGTTGAAAAAAGAAATAGCTAATTCTTTATTAATTAAGATAATTGACAGCATGTAAATGAAGGGTATTTTGTTATTTGCCAATTTAGAGGTTAGCAATTACATTGTTTATCCCATTGCCTCAATAAATTAATCCAGCTCACCCACTAAAAATACTTTGTTGAGCATAACAACGTTTTAGTCCTCAGATACCAAAAACTAGACAAAAAGGTAATGTGCAATTTGTCTTTTTCAACCACTAAAAAAATTGACATTTTATCTCTTGTTTAAAAAAGTGCCACATTGCTCACTTGTTGCACAAACAACTATAATTTCAGTTTCATGCAGTTTGCGGTAACACCTTACATATTTTAATGTGTGCAAATTGTTTCCATGATTCCAATGTTCCATTGGTTCCATGTTGAACATTGTTTGCATGTTTCCATGCGAGTCTGTCTTAGTGTTGTACTGATTGGCAATTAGTCATCTAGAAGCCACAGTCATAAATACTTTTTCTAGGAAAATCCAACAATCGGGAATTTTGGTTAACGTGATAGGGTTACTTTTAATCTATCTGTAATAACAGTTCTACTGTAGTCACAAGGTAGAGTTTGGGACAGTTAAACAATTTTAAAATATGCTAATTACATTAAAACTCTTACTCGTAGTTGCTGGTGAGTTGAACAACCAAAGCAGGGTGGAGTAGAGTGGGAGACAGCTAAGTATGAATCTTGCCTCAGTCAAGACACCTCCTGCAGCAATCAACACCAGGCGGATCTAAACAAGACAATCCTATTGAGCAGTCTTCACTTGCAGCTAATAACTTGAGTAAACCGATAAAATACAGTTCAAGTGATGTTGAGTTACCTATAAAACAAGGTGAGAGCTACTATACCTTCATCCCAAGACTGGGAAAATCCCATCTAAAAGATGAAATGGACAGCTAAGGGTGGATCTTTATCTTGCATCTCTCATTAGATATATTGGTACTCATTATTTTGATATGTTTTCCCCCCAAAAGCTTTGAGAAACTGAAACTAGATTATTATATCCTCAAGATGGGTAAACCCATGATGGAAATATGTATCTAGCCTAAGTAAATCGATGAATAATAGGGTAAGAGGTTTATATTTATTGGAATTTTTGTTGTTGTGCTTGCTTTAGACTTTTTAAGTGAAACTCCTCATATATTTTAGTGCTTATTATTTTTTTTTTGTGTTAACAAAGAAAGTTTTTTCAGTAGAAAGATTCAAAAGTTTGTCTTTAAATACACGAGCACGATAGCGTGTTTTGTCTAAAAACTCAAATGTTTGATAACAAATGTTCAGCACATTATTATAATTATTTTTTGTTGACTTGTGAAATCACAAAGAACTGAACGTCTGGTTCTAAATGTGCAGTATCTTTGACAACAGTATCCAATAGGTGGCATAAAACTATTTTTGAAGTAATTCATTAAAAAACATAACAAAATCAAACTTGGTTTTGAAAACAATCATTGTTTTAAAATATAACGTATTCCAACTACCAGTACTTATCTTGTAGGTTACTTACAGCTGTGAAGACAACGTAGTACACCAGAGTGGTGGGCAGAAGAAATAGTAAAACCGTGAATGATATCGTTCCAATGAGTAGCTGCTCAGTCGTGTAAGGACAAGAATCAACCCGTCCAGGCACTGGGTTGCGCTTACGGCCTAGAAAAACTCGAGACAGCGACACCAACCCAGTTAGCTGTGCTCGGTAGAGCCTACACAGGAAAACATACAGTATGAGTGACAAGGTCCCACTTTCTTCTTACACAAATACAGTTGACTATTGTAATTGTTTGTATGGGACTGGGAGGGTGCCGAATCACCAAAGACATTGGAGAACCTAAAAAAGTACCAAATTTAACCTATAACCTAAAAAAGTCAACTTATGAAGCTTTATTATTTGCTCTGAACTTGGGCCTTAAAAAATCAATTTAGGCAATATTTTACAAAAAGTAATGATCAATACAAAAATCCATTTAATTTAGCTTTAGTTATTACTCTTGCGTAGTAAGTTTACTCTTGTAAACCAGATTATGATTAAGTAGCCAATAGGTCTACTCTGATTCAATGAGGCCTATTTCTATTGTACAAGTTTAAATGCTATAAACATTAGGTAGGCCTACTTAAAGAAAACAAACAAAGTACTTAGTCACAGTACTTAGTCTGCCCATCAATATGCTATCCTATGCAAAGACTGCAGAGTCAGACTGAAAAGATGTGAAACTCCTGTCACAATGTAAAATATTGTACAGATATTCCTAAAATTGAAACTGGAATAAATGAGATCGGTCACACATTTTGTAGAAAAAAATGACTCAGTGTGTCAGATATTTAAATGCATGGACGCCTGCAGTATTTGGAACAACATCCTGAGGGGGAGAGAGGGTCCGGGAAAATATGTTCAGTTGTCTATTATCAATTTAATTTGAAACGGAGACTCAAAGCGGCTTGGATAACATAAAAGTGTTTAGTTGTTTTTAAAATTTATTTTGTCTATTATTTGTAAAATATTATCAGGCAGAAGGCTACAAAACTTAATCCCAGCATATAAAGTTTTTTTTTAAATAATTTTACCTAACCCACCATGTTAAACTTCCCTATCCCAAGCGTGATAGAATCTACTCAAGCTGGTTGACTGGTTGTTGTTGAACAGTATACAACTTCTTTACTACACGAGTGAAGTAAAGTTTCAAAAACTCACTCGGTGAAGTAATGAAACCCATTCAAATAACATTGAGTGCTTAACTTAAAAAATATACCTCTATGGAGCCAACGACCTTCAACGCTAGAAATTAGCTGTGCACTTAAATTTTATTGTTTTAATTTAAAGAGTTTTCCTAACCTAGCTTTTGTTTGTAAAAGAACGTTAGTGTTAGAAGATGAGTGAAATGGATAATGAAAAATTTTGTACGTAACCCTCTGTATATTGTCGGGTCAGGTAAAATCTTGTACGTTACACGTTACGCAAGAGCGTGTTTACATCACTTAGGTGAATTATGCAGCTTCCGCTTGTTGCACAACATTCACCTGCGTGATGTAAAAACACTTGTACTACACTTGTAAGGTAAATAGCTATTAAGTTGTGATTTGAAAAACTGATTTTATGTCTATGCCTTGTTCCATAGCTTGGGTTGTTGTACGAACCCAAGGTCTTGAATTTTGGTAAATTATTCTTTACAAACAAGATCAAATCAATGATATATTGGGCAAAAACAGTAAGAATACCAAGTTTTGAAAATTGTTCTTTAACTGAAGTTCTCCAATCTTGAATGTTTAACATGATGCGAAGTGCTTGTTTTTGAAATGATATAGTGGGAACTGGCCCTTTTTTGGCCATCAATAATCCGGATAATTTGATAACCTGGATGGGATCCGGCCCCAATTAATCCGGATTATTAACTTTCTACTCATGTAGAAGAAAATACACAAATGAACATATAACATAGAGTCTTCAGAGCTACTTGATCCTTTTTCAGTAGTGGAGTCTTTGTTCTTGTTGTAGGTTGTTCTGGTTATGGAAGAAGGAAGAGTACGGTACGCTGTCTAGTTTATGGTTTTTTTTCACCATCACTAAGTCACATCTAAATATTATAGGTAACATACAAATTATTCTATATTTATAAACATTCTATATTTTCTTTGTTTGGGTGGGATTATTAATAATACTGTGATATATTAACACAGCAGAATTTTGTAATTAATTATAGAATAATTTTTATAGTAATTCACTAGTTACTTATAGTATCCAATAACCATAGATTAGACAGCATATTCTTCTTCTTCCTTCCCATGCCACACCCAGAACCACCTAGAACAAATACTGTATACTAGACCTACTGAAGAAGAAAGTAACATAGTTCTGAAATTCTATTTTTTGTGAGTTATTTTTTTCATCTATTTTTGTCAGTAAGGTAAGCCTACTGTTTAACATATCACCACAAAAATTCTCAACTATAATATTATAATTTTCAATCGTTTGATTTTCTGTTGTAACCATTGAATTCGTACCCAATTATTAGCAATTTTAATATTGTCATCAATTGCTCAAGAGACAGTGAAGGATTTGTAAACTGCATAAATAGGTAGTCAAAGATACTTCTGATTCAAATTATTAAAACTGTATAATATATGGTAAAGGTTACAATATTTTGAGTGCAGATAAACCATAATATGTAGTTTATGCACTTCTGTAAAACCATGTTATGAAAATTATTGTGTTAAATATACCGTTTGATTGATTGATAAAAAATTACAAAAATATAAAAATATGTTATTGATAAACCCATATCAAAATAGTTGTTAATAAATTATGTCACTATTTTACCGATGGCTATTGAACTAAGAGATTATGCAAGATAGTACATTTAGAGTAACCCTACAGTAGGCTACTCGTGTAAGGATTAAACAAACAAATGTTGTTATCAACAATTCCTTACCTTGCAGCATACACGTAGATGATGTACACATGAAAACTTGCAATTGCAAGCAGGTCAGCGAGGATTGCAATTTGGAAAGATAATCCAAGACATCCGAGGCAAACAAATGCTTGTAACCCCAGCTCAAGCAATGGCCTTGAGTAGCCTAGAAATAGAATAGCATCAAATTTAACTTAAGATTTTAATAGATTGAGTAACTATGTTATATAATATATAGGCCTATGTTTATGTTTTTCTGTTTTGTTTTCAACACCAAAAAGGCATTATAGTTCGGCCGCTTAGAAAGCGACCTCCTCCAGCATTGGTTTAGCATTAGCGCGCAGGTCGTTTTCTAAGCGGCCGAACTATAGTTGCATTTTCAAGAGGAAGAAGTTCTGCACATATGATAAAATATTTTCTCAAATTGCTTAGTTTCACTGCTCCAAACAAATTTTGAAAACATACGGTAATTAATTTTCATAACTATTTCCCAATTTTGAGCACTTTTTCCCCTAGCAGTATTTTTTGTGTGAATTCAGAATTTGCAAAAACGTGCTGGACGGAAAGAGAGCAACTGTTATAATGGCTCGAATTGCACATAATAGCAAAAAACATAACTCTTGAAACTGGAAATAGGCTACACAAATTTAGCAAACACAATTTTGTTTCAATAAAGCTTGCGATTTGCAGCAATCTGTGCGGTTTTCGTATGTGTTTTTCAGGGTGAAATAGTCATTTGCCCCAAAAGCGCCAGAAAAAAAACTGCCAAAAATGAAAATGAATAATGGATTTTGCTTCAAAATTTGTTAGGAGTAAATTGTGAAACTAAACTTATTCCTTTTCCCATTTTAAGCCATCCTTAGGTTTACTCTAGGTTTGTTCCATTATAATTGATGGGGACAGTGGTAACGTCGTCTAATCCAGCCACTAGGTGAGGTTATGAATTGTGAATATTTAAAGGCATGATGCACTGTGGATGCGATACTCCCTGGTGTGGATTAACGTCTGCACTGGTGAGTACTACGACTATCCGCAGTACTACAAGTATTACATGTACTATTACAGTACTACTCAGTATTACAAGGCAAAAATGTGGTTCGGAATCCATTATAAACTGTAGGTCCCTTAGTTGCCATTGGCTGTGTGGGCTATTAATTAACATTTGTGTTTAAGTAAAATGTCTGCCTTAGTTACTAACAAGACTACAAGATCGTGCCACTTATCCTACACTCATCTCCATTCATACATTTCTATGGTCGCCATTTCAGATTAAATTATTAAACATTAAAGTATTAAATTAATTTCTTTTGTTAGACGTTCTTGTGCTAGTGACATGTAGACAAATAGTAGAAACTAATTCATTAGGCCTATACCAATTCCATTACCCTTTAACAGCTTAATGCTAAGTCAGATCTAAAATGTTTGTTTTCAAAGGTTGTGGGAGAAGAATTGCACCACAAAGCAGAGCGTTTTTAAACTTTCTGCATCAAACTTGAAAAAAATCCAAAGTAAATAAATCGCGTGTGTGATAGTTTTGACCAATATTTGAAAATAAATAAGTGTTCAAATGCTCGTATCGATTCAAATACCGGTACGCCTACTGTTATTACATTGAATTGCTTTGGAAATTCGGTTATTATGCGTTCTTTCACACGATCGTAGCACCCAGTTTTGACATCACAGCTTTTGTTAATGTAGGCCTAATGCATGATGTTTTGTAGCATTACTGTTTGCGGAATGGTGAATTTTCTGCAGTAGGGTAATCAAAGTTGTCGACTTTCTACAGAAATATTTTCTGCAAAAAAAAACAATTTTATTAACTTGTTATAAAGCATTTTCTGTAGAAACTCATACAAGTTAAGTGTAAGAAAGGACCATGTGGCCCTAACTATGACTGTTAAATAATTAAAAAAATTTTTAAAAACAATCAGTTGGAAAGGCTAGGCTCAGCAGCCCTCTTCGTCTTAATGCCACAATGCCACACTATAGTTCACCCGTAGTTCTGCTTTGGGGAATCGCAAAAGCAGTTATTTTTACCTTTCTTGCATCCTAGGTTACAAAATACTATTCAGAATGTAGGCCTACATCGATCACATACATCAAGTTAAATTGGAATTTTTCTACTATTTTTAATACTTTAATACTTTCTTATTAAATGGTGACCATACAAAGTATGTATTTTAAGCCAAGTATGAATGGAGATGAGTGTAGGTTGAGTGGCGCGATCTTGTAGTATTGTTATCAAAAGTAGTGCCCTAAATTCAAACTATTATAATTTCATCCAGTAAAGTCCAATAAATTAATTTGAAAATATTTTTCGAGTTTTTTGAAACATACATTTAAGGTACCTAGTCAAATTGGACAGAATTTAACAATAAACGTGAATGCTGGTATGAAGTAACTTTTCCTCGCAACAAATATTAAATGCCTGAAAATAACTGAGATCGATATAATCACCCAAAATTCTAGCAGGCTACATCTCTCCTCTAGTTATTCTGGTTTATATTGAAGTTAGTTGTCTTGTTTAAAGTTGTTTGAAGTGTTAAATAGTTTTACAAGTTTTGTCAAAAGTCTTAACTAAATAGCACCATACTATTCACCTATTATGATGTACAATTTCAGTTTCTTACCTAGGAATGCCCACCACAAGTCGACATGGAAAAGAAAGAATTTCCCGAGTACATTGTTTAGAGGTCCGTTTAGCTTGAGATCTGCAGGACTACCCATTAGGTAGCGTACCATGTCCTTCAGAGAGATGAGAACAACCTGTGAAGAGCAAAATGGGTACCAATAAAATGGAGGTTTTCATTTAAAGTATGCTTAAAGTTTTAAGGTATGTTAGCTTAGCATAAGAAAGATGGAGGGTGGATTTTTAATTTGAATTTGGTAAAAAATTGTTTTTAATCTTTTTATTTAATTTCCCATGTCAACTGAGTACCGAGAAGTAAGATATTGTACAGAGGATACAAGCCTAGGGACAACCGTGGGTCTATAGCTCTGATATGTTGGGGCGGAAATGTACTAGAACTAGATCTTCAAGCAAGGAAGAGCCCGAACGGCGATGGCCATAGCATTGTATAACAGTTGAATCACACAGGTCTAGCATTGTACCGATGTAAGGTAATGCTGATATTACGTACAGCGTGAGCGCTGTAGTACATGTTGGCGAGGGGGAAAGGAGAGCGAAGACAGCGGATGACAAATAGAATTTGCTCTAGAGTGCTTGACACCACTTTGTGTACCATTGTACGTTTCTATCCTCTGTTTCTTACTCCTCTAGCTTAATCAAAGAAGTGTAAAATACCCCAGCCGCAGCAAAACTTAACACGAAGCGAATTTCCATTAGCCTGATTGGATTTACACTAAAATGCCTCCTTTAAAATATCACATTTATTTATTCCCTATTTAAATGGAGTTAGTTTAACGAGTACTTAGGTTTGCTGCAACAGGGAGCAGCAGTACTAAAAGTGTTAAAAGTGTTTTTTTTTTGTTTTTTGTAAAATGTTAATAGTTTAGTAAGAAATGAATGTATTTTCCAAATTCGATCAAAATATGTTCATAAACAAGCTAACTACAACAGTTGACTTATTCTCTGTAAGAATAACATGGAAATTTTTAATTTACCCAATAAAACCCCCCATAAACCCCCGTTCCCATAGTCCGATCATGCTGGTTCGCGAACTTGTTTGAATAAATGTAGGTTTACACGTTTAGGCCTATACAAAATTTGATAAAAATCGGATCATTTTTGCTCGAGTTATCGTGCTAACGGACACATATATATATATATAAATATATATATTATGAAAATTGTAGGCTAGTGATTAGGGCTACTATTTTGATATACAGATGCATTATTAAAAACTAAGTAGGCCTACTTTTTTTATGAGTTTCAGCAATATATTGTGGGATGAATAACGATATATATCAATATTTATCCAATTTCATATTAATACTAGAGGACCCATGTTGCTCTGCAGCGTTTTAATACATATAATATCCGATAAATAATAAAAATTATTATTTTTGATTGAGAGTACTACCGTACAGTATCTTGAGCTTAACTGATTCTAACGACCAGTAGCTCAAATTAAAGCCTATAATTTACTGATTATTTTGAGTCTAAAACATATAAAAAACAAGAAACTGGAACTATTGTTTTTTAACCATAGAAAAACCTTATGAAAAATAATTTGAATGTATGTTGTTCACCTTGCGTTTGCTTGAAACTCGTCCGATTTGTAAAACTAATCGCTTAAAAATGAAAGCCGGTATTTTGCTGAAGGATCTTAGACCACAATATATAGGATATTTAATTATATAACTGGTGAAATACATCTTAAATTGAAATAAGAATTCTAAAAAGAATCAAATTATGTTTTTTGGTCAAGAAATACAGTAGGTAAATATATGCCGATGCATGATGGCAAATCTGTGCGTGCATGGGTGTAGGCACGTCACCCAGGCTGTAATCCTCTTAATCACGGTCGGTTGACCTGTCAGTTCTAGGTTGGTGTCGAACGCTTCCGCATCATACCGTGCATAACCAAACTGATCGCGGCAAATTGTTAGCTCTATCACCGTCGCTGTCAAAACGTATCGTTTGTAGGTTAAATTGAAATTTAATTAAACTGTCATAACCTAACCAAACTAACCAAACTTGCTGATAATGAAAAATCGAATAAAGGTTTACTAATCAAAAAAATTGTTCTGTTCATAAAATAAAATTACAAATGCCTAAAATTCAATTTTATAAATTTTAATTATAAAATTAAACTATAAAAAAATTGTTCTGATCATAAAATTATAAATTCTAACAAAAGATGTACAGTTAAGAAGTAATCACATTCTAAGCGAAATCTTTGACAAAAAGTTAACGCTTCCGGTGGGACTCAGAATTCTCGATTCCCCACCCCTCCTCCGGTGACCGCTACCCTCAGGCCATAAATCAGGGGATTAACCTAAACAAAGATCTGGGCCATTGTCCGTCTATATAATAAACAAAACAAAATAACAATGTTTGATTCCGTAAAAAGCAAAATCAAAGGCTTTAGTTTGTTTATCTTAAGTACTTAGTTTGTGGTTTTAGTTAAAAATAGTTGTTTTTATTTTTCAATAAATATTACCAGTAGACTCCCTCTTATCCGGACACCACCTTTTAACTGGACATCGGTTTAATCGGACTACACTTGGGCAGAAATGACATGTATGAGGGGGGTGAAAGCAGAGTAGGCATATTGGGGATAGTGTCGTGCTCTTTAACAACTTGTATTCCTCCATTACCACATGATCTCCTAGTTTCATTATTTAAGCCATCATTTTATTCTAGTCCAATCATTGTCAAACCATCACCTTTTTTGCCCTTTTGTCATTGTTAAGTTTCCTTTCATAATTTAGCCTATATTTGCACTGTTAAATCTTCAATCCATATTTGATAACCTTTCATCTCGGTTCATGTTCCTCCCAATGTTGTTACATTTACCATTATAGGACTTTAGTCACAATCAATTATTGTCACACTCACATTGTTCATATTTCATTACTAAGTTGTGAACCATTAGTGTTAGCATGTATTCATAAAGCATGACCAAATAGCAAGATGTTAAACTTACAGCATGTTAATAGTATTAATCAATCCACAAATTGTTATGCATGTAATTGATTGTAGCCTGCAAAGGGCGATTCCCGTAAACAAATAAATAAATGCATTAAATAAATACAGTATGCATTCAAACTGTCCGATTTTACGAGTTTTTTGGGGACGACAGTCGTCGGTTTAACCGGAAAACACGTTATCCGAACTGGCCTTGGTGCCGAGGAGTCCAAATAAGAGGGACTGTAATTGATTTTGGTACCTACTGTAATATATAATTGTTTAGGCCTATATTGATTAAATATCCATAGGAACTAGGGCCTATATATAAGATAGGCTACATTGAAATGGATAATTATCGATGTTATAACCTTTTTCATCCAATAATATATTGCAGGTTCTCTGATTTTTCTAACCTCAAGAACTAAAACAACATAAAAAATAAGATAAAATTAAGTTAAAAGTTAAACTTACCTCGGAATTATCAGCCAAAATTTGCAATATGTCTTTGACATTAACTATACTCATGAGCCAGTAAATGAGAAGCAATCCTCCAAACCAATCAGCAACTATCCCAAGGATATAATTTCCGCTAACCAGAGTTGTAAAGCTCTTTCTTTGGTGAATTAATTCAAGGTATTTTATTGCATTTTTAACAAAGGCAGATATGTGTAAAGCTAAGGTAGAACACTTTAATAGCCAAAATAAAACAGTAATAAATTCATCAATATGCTTTAAAATACCAATTAATGTGACTAAACTAATTTTTGTGAGAGGTGCCAAGCCACCGGAACGGTTTTGTAGAGATTGTCGATGTTTTAAGGAAATGATTAAAAGCTTAAAATGATCATCAACTGCTCCACTTTCTCTCTGCCTGTAACAATCTGGCAACAGCAACTCTGACTGTAGAAAATTACACTGATTATAGACAACTACCTGGCAGTTTTCCCGCTCAACATTCACATTGTTACAAATAACTTCTTCTAACACAGGGAGTTTTTCAAAGCTTTTTAATCTTATCCAATCAGATTTCTTATTTTTTGTTTTCTTTTGTGAAATATTCCCAACAATCCCAATTGCATCTTCAGGAACTGAGCTTGTATCAACAACTTCATGAATAAAAAAGTTTTTGGTTTTAAATAAATCGTCACGGATTACTTCGCCACACAAGAAACCATGATCACAAACAGCATTAGATGGATAAAATAACACTACAGGATAACCAGAGTAACTATTAGTAGGCATAAGTAACTAGATAGGCCTATGATCAATAAATTAACTTTCCTTTCTCTACAAATTATAGCCTAAGTTGATTACCAATCTAAAATAATTAAATAAATTACAAAGCCATGTTTCTTCTCTTCATAGCAAAGAGTAAAATGTGATAAAAAAGGAATTTTCCACCTTTTGCGAATCTAATCTAACCAACCAAACCACAACAATCAGATTATAAATAAAAATTTACTATTTAGGTTAGGTTTAGGTTGACAGGACCATTGCTCAATGGACATGACAGGAGGTGGAGCGGTGGGAGTAGGCATGCACTGCAGCCTGTGGTGGGTAAGAAATGTTTTGCTAAATATAAATTATTTTTTTACCATGCAGCTGCGATGGCTAAAATATAGCCTATACCATAGACTAACCAACACAAGGGAGTATGTTTTATCTATGCCTATACTGACTTCTGGGCTCAGTCGGGACATGCCGTCATGCTCAGTGATATTACAAAACAAAGGCCCCGATGAAAATAAATAAAAGAGCCGTCAACTTCATGACGTGACGGTTTTTGGATTTTGCTTTATCTATATAATTAATTAATTACTGAGCGAAGCTTTTATACGTTGACTGTTATGCATTCCGTAACGCAAACTCATCCTAGACGGCTGAAGCAATCATTTTCAAATGTTGCATGGTGATAAAGACCATATCGGTGAGTGCTAACATCCATATGGGTTAAATAATTCTCTAAGGAATCTGCCCCACGGGATCTTAAAATCTCAATGTAATCCTTATAGAAGCAGTGTTTGACACAAAAACAAAGGCATAAGACCAACTGTTGACTTAAAGGAATTATTGTAACTTTCATTACAGAAACTGTATGGATCATAAACATAAACAAATTACGTAACTAGCTCGAACCACTGACATTAACATAAGGGTTGGACGATTTTTGACGGTTTAATTTGAATAATAATACAAACATGCTTGCTTTCGGTCTAGTGACGTCCTTTTTTATGCTGATTAATTCAGTTTCTGTTTTAATATTCGTGCTGTTAATAATCTTGTTAAGTACTATTTAAGTAACGTAATTATGTGATTAATTCTTGGTTTCAGTTTGAACATTATTAAATATTTACAACCTAGAGATCAATAAGTTGATTATTAGGTGTATTTGTATGAGTGTTTCATTATTTCATCAGCAAACTATATATACATTGTTATAGCTGTAGACAAAAGTCAGTGGTTTTAAATACAACGGACGAATCAACCCATTGTGACGGCAGTGTTCTCGTATTAGCACCAATGTTAATGGCCAAACAAAATTACGCAGCACTAAGATTGAATTTACGAAATTTTAATGAACTACAGAGTGGGAAAAAAGCAATGTTGCTGTTGGCACCGTCCAAGATATTGTACACAAACGTGAAGAAGTCTTATCACATCGTTGGAGATGCAGCTTTTATGATAAATTATAAGTTAATTTAGTAATTTATTTATTTATTTGACGGTAACAACCATTTACAATAATGCTAACATGCTATAAAATGCTAACAAAACAATACGTATGAAAAGTTTGATGGCTAACATTGGTGTGGTGCGTTAACATCATGACATAATAATTATAATTAATAATTATAGATGTCCCAAACGACTGCCTCCTTACAGGCGGCTGTGCTCAAACACTATGCAATACAGAGGTACCGATTGTCCCTATTGAAACTAAATTTTTTTAACTTGGCATTAAGTGTACCCGAAAAAAATTGTCATTGGTACCTGCCTAATGTCTCACAATTCACAAATTCCAATGAAAGACCCTGAACCAAGCAGTTGTTGATATTGGACAAAGAGAACTCGTTGCTGGGTTGAAGTATTGCAGTGAGCCGCGTCCGAACGATAGATGGACTGCTTTTCAACCCAGGATTTCCAAAACAATATCTGATAAAAATAACGAAAATTTTGTCTGAAAATTAAACTAGTCTAATATCAATATTCAGTACCACCGTTATTTTAGTTAGAAGTTTTCTCAGTCGTTTAAATTAATTTCCCAATCAATATAGTTCTTGTTTTAGTTCTGGGGGGGTCATAAGAGAGTGCTATTTCACGCGTGTTTTAATTTGTATACTTGTCATAAAATAAAGTAAAACTATTTACAGTTGTTATGAGTAAGCAAAATGGGTAGAAGCCGAAACTGTTTTGGTTGAAAGTACCACCTAGCAGAATTGTACCGCCCTGTTGGAGAAAAAGTTAATTTACCATCCCAGAGGTTTTAAGCTTAAAACTCAAATGAGGTTTTAAAGAGCCATATCATATCATCTCAGTGTTTTTGACAAATTGTTACTCTTCACTAGGACATGGTGATAGCTCACATTTCCGAATATCATATAGACGCATTTTTATCTCAGAAGTCCTTTCGGGCTCCACCCCAGTGGCTCTGGAGTTTCCCATGTTAACCATAAGTAATCATATTTAAAAGAAATAAACGAATTCTGTCAGCTGTTTCAACTACACAAGTTGGTTCTATGATATTGCATTTTTTTATCATAATTTATTTTACCTGTTCAAATATGAGAACAATAAGTAAAACATATATCTAAAAAACCTTTTTTTTATCATATTGAATAGCATTAAAAAAGTTACAAGCAAGGGTTACCAACAGGGTGCAGTACTATTATTTTTGTACATTTATGAAAACATCTCTCCTATAAAGGCCATAAAGGTTACATTTTGTTTTTAAAAGGCTTATGTGAAACTATTTTTTTTCAACAGATGTAAAGACCAAATTATTCTATTTTGTGTTCTCTTCCCGTTGCAAAGCACGGGTACAACAGCAGCTATTATAATATAAACCATGATGACTCTGCTCAGTTTTGTGGACGCGACTGCGAATTCCACCTAGTACTTTTTTTGTGGTATGAGTGAGGGGAATGAGTGAATCCAATCCAATCTCAATCAAGAGTAGGATTGGGTTTGAAGGATTTTTGATTTGATTTGTTTCTGTTTGGGTTTGGGTTTGTTTTGGACTGTTTAGTGTTTAGGTTTTGGTTGGTTTTGGTTGTAGTTAATGTAGTTTGGGTTTGGGCCAAAAAGGCGGTTAGGTTCATTCATGGACTTACTTAGGGTTAACTTTAAAGTGGTTAAAATACCGTCACGGTCGGTAAGTATACTTTTAGTTTCTGAGATGCCTATTAGATTATGCTTATATTTTTTAAATCATAACCTTCGCATCATTAGAACGAAAAGGCTTTAAATTACTTTGGGTAAATTTCTTACATCTGGTCGTTTTTCATATTTTGATGATGGTAGCCTAAGCCTAGCCTGGCTACTTACTCGTCTAAGCTGAGAATTCTAAGTTAGACACCTGTTAGTTAATATCGCTAGCCTAGCCTAGAGGCCTAAATACTTTCAAGCTTTTGAATAGGCCTAGATCTAGGCCTAGAAAGAACCAAGTTACTCAAAGGTGATTGTGTGAAAAATGAAATTCCTTATTTTCTATTAGGCTGAAAATGCAATACCCTAGGTTGTAAAACTATATTTTTAGCGTTTGCTGATGCTATAGCTTTAATATCTGAAGATTATGGTAGTTTAACCCTCCGAGCGTCACTCGTCGAAAAATCGACGCGCGAACATCGTTTACGGCGAAGGCTCTATGACTGACTGAATCGGATTGAACTGGAATCGAGTTAGGTATCGTTCTTTTTGTTATATTCTAAGCTTTCTCCAGAGGTCTGTCTCAGCGCTGTATGTTCTCCGAGCCGATCGTAATTGTAGCAGACAGCTGACGTGCGTATTTGTAAATAGCTAGGTTACCCTCGGACCAATGACTGATGTGTTTTATTACGTTTATCATTGTTTTAGTGTTAAAAATCAAAAGTAGTGATATACGTGGTGCATTATAAGAAGATTTAAGTGATTTTGAAGGGCTGGTTGATGATCCTGAAGAAGTAGGTAGTGATATTGATGTAAATTATCAGCCAGATTCCTAGCTAACTTATGGTTAGGCTATGCATTCTTAGCTAAACGCTATGTACTGAAATCTGTTTTTTGCCCATAACTTATTTATTTGCAAATCTACTTCCTTATATTATTATATATTTGTAATCCTCATAAAATTTGGAACAAAGTAGCTATTTTCAAATATTTATAGGCCTATAATTTAGGTATACAATTTCATTGAGCGCGAACTTTCAAAAAATTTTTTTTAACAAATATTCCTTATGTTTTATGTATAATATTGAAGCCCATGATTTTCCAAACAAAATGGTATATAGAACAGTAGAATTAACATTGTTTTAAGCTTCTCAGATCGGTTTTAATAATACCCCCACCGCAGCAAACCTGCCGTCTAAGCGAATTTCCATTTGGCCGAATTGATTTTCAATTGATCTATTTAAATAACATTATTAGGTTTAACGAGTACCTAGGTTTGCTGCTACAAGGAAACTAATAAAGTAGTGTGTTTTTAGTAAAATATTGATAGCTTACTATAAAATAAATAAATTTGCCAAGTTTGATCAAAATATATCCATAAACAAGCAAACTAGGCCTACAACATTTTACAATATTCTCCATAAGAATAACATGGGAATTTCAAATTTACCATTTTTTTAGTTTTCTCCGTAACCAATAACCGTACAAAAACACTTTGATATACTGAATTGTTTGTTTTTTTAAGCTCTTTAAGAAGGTTTAGAGAAAAATTGGGAAATTTTGTGTTTTGAGGGTAAAAAGTGAGAAAAACCAATTTTTACCCCATAAAACCCTGTTCCCATGGTCCGATCATGCTGGATCGCGAACTCATTCAAGTTTATCCCGCTTTACACCTTCAAACCAAATTTCATCAAAATCGGATAAAAATTACTCAAGTTATCGTGTTCACGGACACATATATATATATATAAATCTATATATATATAAATCTATATATATATATATATATATACATATATAAAAATTTGAACGAATGGTGTTTTTGGCCTCTGGGGACATTAAAATGAAAAAGTAAATCGGTCCCGGGCCTAAGTCTTACCATGAGACCTACGGTAATAGCTACTTCCCTATAGGGAAATTCGCTGAAACCTTGCAAATGCGCCAAAAATAGGCTTACATTAAGGCCTAAACTATGGACACTCGGAGGGTTAAAAACCCTGGAAGAAACGCTTCTAAAGACTGCAGAAAAAGCTGGTCTTTTTGTAAGTGAAGTAGAAACCAAATAGGTAGGCAATACTCTGAAAAAATGATTGGGGACCATCAGGCTGGTTTCTACTTCTAGTTGTAAGTAGAAACCCAAATATTTATAGAGACTCTTGAAATGTAGATAGTTAGCCCCATTCCTTTCAAAGGTGCGAAGATTTCTAATACTTAGAAGTCACTGTAGACGAGAGTAATGATGAAGAAAAAGAAATTAAAATAAGACTCCTTCAGGCAAATGTTATTGGACCCTCCAGAAACTACCAAAGAGTGAAATTCTATAAAAAATACCAAACTAAGGCTCTACAAGTGTATGCATTTACCTGTTGTATTAATTATATGAATCTGAGGTTTGGACACTCAGCAAACAATCTGAAGAAAGATCTGGTCAAAAGAATCTGATAGTCTTTGAAAACAAAATTCTTCGATCAATTTTTGGTCCAATTTGTGATCAAAGAATATGGTGAATAAGGACCAACATGGTACTCAGAACTTTGTATCAAGATCCAGACATAATAGCTTTAGGCCCTAATCAAAAGTAGAAGATTGAGGTGGGCTGGCCACAAGAGAGCTGAACTCCACACTGATAATGGCAGCAGAAAATCTTCCACAAGGTAGACAAACATTGGGGCGCCCAAGACTGCGATGGAAAGATCAGATGCAGGAGGACATGCAGAGGGCTTGAATTGAATTGATGCTCAACAGGACCGAGATATTTGGCGAGGCCAAAACCTTTTGGGGTTTGAGTGGCTATGTAGGTAAGGTAAGGTAACTTAGGATTTTAGTTGAAAGTTGAGCAAGTTATCTTTATTTCGTTATAGCATTAATATCATGTTCCAGGTTATGTTATCCAAGCAGTAGACCTTTTTGTTGGTTTATGGTGGAACACAGAAAGCCTGTCTATTGAATGTTCAAGAAACCACTCTGGCGGAAAATATATTGTGAACCTCCACAAAAGAAGGAAAATGGCAGAAAGAGCAGAACTTGTGGTGAGAGTTAGCAATAAACTTTTGCACTTTTGTACCACTTCTTCATAATAGTATGGATAGATATAATAGAATAGATAGATGGATAGATTACGGATATAAACTTTTGGATTAAGGTCTGTAACGCGATTTTATTAAATTAAATGATTTTTTGCAGTAAAAACTAACGGTTTGTAACAATCGTCAAAAGGAAGAAAAACACAATTAAATTGGCTTAGTTTTCCAATAAAATTAAAACTAAATTTCTAAATTGTAATATTCTTGTTGAACAAGCAGGCCCAGGTCAGACTGGGTTTCAAGACATGTTTAAATTAAACAACATACAAGTTTTTGATGTTGACAGGCAAGAAATTGTACTTTTTTACCCTTTGGTATTTAAAGCTGTTTTGATCAGCAGTATACATATTCCTTAGAGTGTACAGATTATCTTTAAATCGTTTACAATAGCTGAGAACCTGATATCTTTTTAAAGAGTGTCATGTTTTTTTTTTTTTACTTTTAAATACAACAGCCTTACCAAACCATACAAAGATGAGAATGTTATACAGGCATACCCGCATACACATAATTTAAAGTCTCTATTTATATATAATATAAATTCAAATTTATTTAAAAAATTTTAATCTTACTACACATTGTAGTCTGCTGTAGAACAAAGAATAATATTAGGCCTACATGAAATTTTACAAGTTTGTTTAAACCTAATTATGATTATTGTTATATAGGTGGTTTCTTATAATTTTAGGGCCTAATAGAAAATGTTATGGCTGTTAAAGATATTAAATATAGCACTGGATTTTCTAAATTGAATTTCATCCAAAATTTCTTGACTTGTTTAGGTATTGTTCATCTTGATCCAATGGGTAGTCCATATACTTTAAATTTTTATATTTTTCCAAATAATAGGGGATAGTTTTCTTATAAATATTTACTTTTTCTTCATGGACTTCCTTTAGCTGATTTTAATTTGTCTCAAGACGAACTGTTGGGTCTATAATGAGGCCAAAACCTTTCCCCTTCTTTCCCATCTATAACAATAATGTCACTCCGCCTCACAGAGCCCACTTCTTCTATAGCTGTAACCTCTTCTCATGGACCTCGTAACTTTTCTTTCTGAATTGATCTACTATGATTTTTCTGATCGTATGGAGGCAGGTATTCCTGTGCACGTTTGCCCACTTTAACAGTGAATAGTGTTAAGGTATTAGTGCACAAGTCCCATGTCGCATTAAACATTAAAAAAATACATTTTAACACCATATCAATATTTTCACTTTCCTAAACGAATGTTGTCGCAGAGAAGCTTATTTTTATTACCAGGCCTCACCAAACAAATAGGCAAAACCTTAAACTCTTTTGGGGACACAGTTGAGAATCGGGAGATTTAGGTCTTTTAGCCAAGTATTATTTTTTTTATAATTTTTTAGCCAAGTATTAAGTTATGCAATATTACTAATCAATAGGGATTAATGTAATTAATCTTTAGATAAATAAATATGTGCTCACCTACCTATTTTTGACAGAAGTAGAAGTTCATTTATGAGCTCTATTCAAATTCAAATTGAAATTATTTATTGTTGTTTTAAAATTATTTTCTATGTTACTACACAAGTATTCATAATTAATTTATTTATAATCGTACTTCAGCTTGTAGCAAGGTTGTTTTACAAGTTACGCTCAAGGCCAAAGGAGTTACTTAAACTACACATCCTTCGATCTTTTTGGTTTAAACTCGACTCAAACTCGAGGATAGAATCTTTTGCCAATTACTCAACTTGACTTGACCTGAAAAATCTCTGCTCGCACATCTCTTGTAATTTGATTGTTAAAGTGGGATATTTATGAAAGAGGGTGATATTTTACCATACAGAGACAGAATTAGTAGTTTTTTTATACTTGTCCCTTGTGTCAATTGAGCATCATTATTGGTCTCTGTAATTTCTTTGTCTACGACTTTCTTCTAAGTTAGTTTTCTTTTTTCAGTTCAGGTATTGAAATGGTGGACGTAGTATATGGTGACTGCAATAATTGTGTGTTGCGTTAAAATGATTGGGTATGAATACTCAGTTCAAATATTGTTGTGTTTCTTGTGGGGTGCTCAAAGGGTTAAATGCTTGCATTAGATGTAATATGTGTTGCTGAGAAAAGAAAACCTTGAGTTCCATCGCCTACGTCGGAACGTGATTGTAAACAGAAGTGAAGTCAGTGCTCATTTAATGTTTCCTTGAAGGCTGGTTCCTCAATGGTTAGGTTCTAGAATTTTCTTATTTAATTTTATGGGAATGTTGCTGGAAGTCAACAGTCCCGGAAGATCAAATAATTTATACCTGTGCCGCTAGGTCAAAAACTACAATGTTTGCAGTGTCTGTAGATCAAAAGTCCCAGTAGGTCAAATAATACAGTCCGAACTAAAAACGTGGTCTATGTTAAAGCAATTGACTTATTGGGAATTTGACCTAATGCAACAGCAGTTTTAATATAACGAAATACGGTAAAATACAAGTTCAGTTTCGCTGAGTCAACAGTGCCGGAAGATCAAAAGCAATAAAAGTGAACGTCGATTCAGTGTAAAGTAGACCCTAAAGTCCTAGAAGTAAAGTAGGCAGTGTAAAGTCCTGCAACGCTTACTACACAAACAAAACTCGCTTTTAGTTACTTCGTGTTTTGTCATAATTAGAATAGAGCTAAAATTATCATATTTGGTATATAGGTTATCTATTAATGCTTCTTGCCAACTGTTTCGTCAACACTGTAAATAGGTATAGCCTTTCGTCAAAATTTGTGGCATAAAATACCCGCAAGGACGATCTGAAAATTTCTGGTTATTATTATACTTTTGTAAAAGGAGATCCATTTAATTGTAGAACTATTTTATGAGCTCTAATGTAGTCTACATATAAACTGTGTAAATGTATTACGCCTCGGAAGGGTTGAAACCTGTCCAAACTATCATATAACGTAAATGGGGGTTTTTCACATTCTGAATCAACCAGTCGACGGATTTTCATTATTTTTGTGTTGAAAGAAAGATCATTTTGAGAACTAGGGAATGTCAAAGCCATAATTATAAATAGGGTCCCAGTTTTTTAGAAATTAAGTTTTAATTTTTAAAAAGTCTAGCAGCCGACGCTAACCTTCTAAGCTAGCTTTTAGTACAATATAATTTGCTTAACATAACATCTGTAAACATTCAGCATTTGTGACACAAATTCAGCATTTGGAAACAAATTTAAAGACATATTTAGAGTTGACTTATTTATACTATGTGTAATGCTGACCATCGATACATTCAATTTAGGTATGAGGATGGCAGATTAATTAAATATGCATAGTAAAATAGTAGGATGTTCAAATTATTGTTTAAAGGAATCTTTGTAATCATTGATTTGTTTTAGTCCCATATAAGTTGTTTTAACTAACAGCTGGTTGAATGTAATATTGTTCTACATAACAATTAGGTTTTTGGCGAATTTCCCATATAGGGAATAAGCTATTACCAATTACCGTAGTACTGTACTTATACACCTGGACCCGGGGGCCGGGACCGATTTAATTTTTCGTTTTGAGGTCCCTTCTGGCCAAAAACACATACAAAATATCAAATTCGTATATATCATGGGGTTCAAATTCATATATACAGGGTGATCAACTCAAGGAGGCCACCATTGGGAAATCGGAAACGGTAAGAATTAGAGAAAACTTTAAATGGGGGACATTCCTTTATTTTTTGTGGCAGTAAAAAATATGATTTTAGTTTTTTTATCATGTTTTCGTATAGAATATGCAATTTAAAAACTTTTTTAGCCTGGACATTTTTTCGATAAACCCACTCGTTAAGGAGTACAGCATATGGAAAAACGACTTCCGGTGTACATTTTACATCATGTAGCTCCTAAACGAGTAAGTTTAGAGCTAAATTGCAAAAAGTAAATTCGTCTTAGAATTGCATCTACATTCCTTAAAGACTATAAAATAAAAAGTTTTCCACTTTTCAAGTTTGCCGCCATTTTTTAAATAATATAATTCATATTTTTAATGAATTGTATGGTCTTTTTGGAATGTGGATGCAATTGTAAGACTTTTTTACTCTTCGCATTTTCGCTATAAACTTACTTGTTTAGGAGCTACATGATGTAAAATGTACACCGGAAGTCATTTTCCATAGGCTGTAACTCCTAAACGAGTGGGTTTATCGAAAAAATGTCAAGGCTAAAAAAGTTTTTAAATTGCCTATTCTATCCGAAAACATGATAAAATATAGGGTGTTCCATAAGAAATTTCAAATTTGGCCGCCATTTTGGAAAATGGTGGCTGAATTTCAAAAAACTAAAATCATATTTTTAACTGCCACAAAAAATAAAGGAATGTCCTCCATTTTAAGTTTTCTCTAATTCTTACCGTTTCCGATATCCCAATGGTGGCCTCCTTGAGTTGATCACCCTGTATAGCCTATATTTATTTATTTATATGTTTTTCCCGGGGGGAACCCCAGGACCCCCCCAGGCCCCCGGTGACCCCCCAAAATATATGTCTAGGACCACCCTTGTCTTCTTTACCTATAAAACACATGGGATACAGCCTTTCTTCACTGATGCGTGATTTTCTATAAAGTCTTGGAAAAATAAAAGGTAAAATAGATAGAATACAGGTGCGGTTTACACACAAATATTCATCAAACTGTGTGATAGTTTGTTATAGCAATGAACAATTTGAGAGTATCGTATTGTTTAAGTCGATGGAAAATCTCTGTTGATCCTGTTTTACAAGCAAACCAAAAAGATACAGTAGTCACCACTCTATGCGACATATTCTAACCAGAAAATTGTAATCGTATGATTCTAAAAGCATTGGTAGGATTGCAAAGTACTACACAAACATCATTTCAAGGGTAATAACAGTCACAATTTCCGCTGACTTTAAAAGAGTCAACTAAACTATTATACTAATGGACACACAACTAAATGGAACAACTAATGGAAATTCTCACGATGTACATTCCTTCGATATAAGCATTGAGTATACACGTCAGTACATACGTGTATAAGTTTACCCAATGATATAAGCAACGGTTCTTGCAATTTATTGCTTATTGTTTTTTAGAGTTGTTTTCGGACTTACACTGTTTTCGGATTTACTCACACTCGTATAAGGTTTTCCACGTTTGTCATTGATAATGTAGCCATGTTGCTTTGAAATGGCGACCATACAAATGTATGCTTTTTAAGCCAAGTATGAATGGAGATGAGTGTGGGATGAGTGGAGCGATCTTGTTGTCCTGTTTGTGACTAAGGCCGACATAATCCTTAGAAACAGCTGTTAATTAATAGTGCATACAGTCAATTAATAGCAGCAGAGGTCAAGTTTGGTATCAAATTAAAGGTTTTATTCATAAAAATACATTGCCGCAAACCCAAACTCAAACGATGATGATGATAATAACGTTAATGATGTCGCTAAAACGTATCGTTTGAAATTTAACAGCTGAAAATAAGTGAAATAGAAAAGGTTTTGGTTAAATCCATGAAATTGTAATTGGACACTAGTAAATACTAGTGCACTTGTTGCTACCTCCCCCCTTCGGTTTCATGTATTCCTCTCAAACAGTTCAAACCTAGGAGGATTAAACATTAATGTTACCTAATTAATGTTAAATCCTCCTAGATTCAAACCTGAAACACCCAGATCGAAACTCGCCTGTCGTTATTTTACCATCGCCTTTTTTTAAATATATTTTTCAAAAAAGAAAGATTATATTGATTTACTTTGGATTTTAAAAATGTTAACGTTTTATTGTGTTAAAGATTTATGGTGATACGTAAATATTGTGGTGTAGTAAAGTATATTATATTGTAGTTAAGTGTTAAATTTTGAAATTTTAGGGTGAATCGAGATGAATCTTTTTTTATAACATGGGTCTCTCCTACCTTAACATACATACCAAGTTTCATAAACATCGGTTGGAAAAGTGCAAAGATAAATATCTGTATGTAAAAAATACAAAATGGTGGATATCTGGTTAACGAAACGATTTCGGAAAAAATGTTATCCTTGATTTTCTGTTTATTTTGACCCAAGGAATTACTAGGTGAAGTATCTCCCCGCTTATTTTTAACACCCTGTTTATGATGTATTCTTATAAGTGAAAAATGTAAGCTGGTAATACAGAAAGATGTTTTATAAATAATATGAATGTACTGGTGATCTGTATATTCATCTTTTTTTTGTTCTTAGAACTGTAAATTATAAGTCCACTCAGCAGTCGCATCGTACGATGTAGTTCTTTCCATGCGTTGCGAAATGCTAAATTTGCCGTTCTCTTCAACCCAAGTTATCTATTGAACCACTGATTGTAAAAAATTCAAAAACATATATTTTACGCATCACACTTTTGGCTACAACTTTGCCACAGACAAAACCTCTCTAACCCAAAAACAAAAAAAAATCTCGCATGCTAACTTTTTCATGTTAGAAATCACGATTTAAAACTATTTCACCATACATATCAATTTTTATTAATTAGATCGGTAAATAGTTTACAGTTCCAACAAAATAGTCATCGAGTAGGACTAACCAAGATGCTCTGTGCCAATTTTCAAAATTTTAGCACAACTTTAAGTACACCAAAACGCGAAATTATTGAAGTCATGCGTCGAGAGGACTATCGTTGTTTTTAACAGATTATACTTTTGACCTTCCGGCACTGTTGACTCAGCGAAACTGAACTTATATTTTATCTTATTTCGTTATATTAAAACTGCTGTTGCATTAGGTCAAATTCCCAATAAGTCAATTGCTTTAACATAGACCACGTTTTTAGCTCGGACTGTACTATTTGACTTACTGGGATTTTTGATCTACAGACACTGCAAACATTGTAGTTTTTGACCTAGCGGCACAGGTATAAATTATTTGACCTTCCGGGACTGTTGACTTTCTGCAACGCGTCCAATTTTATTACCATTTTCGGGGTTCTTTCAAGTACAAAATTGTGGCAAAAAGTTATATTGAAGTATTGGAGGAAGTTTGGAGAGGTCAAGTAATTTTCTAATATTTTTCCGCAGATTATTTGTCCACTTTAATACTTCACTAAATAATACTTCCTTAACACTTATATACACTTTTTACCCAATTTAATACATCCTAATCAAAATTTTGGTGATGTGGATCTTGTCGACTCAATGATCTCGTGTATTTTTGCCAGTGTTGATTCCAATATAACAGTGAATGTTGACGTTGCAGAAAATGGTGAAGGCGTTCAAGGTTACAGAACTTACCACACTGTTAACCTTTGCTGGACGTAGCAAGCATGGGCTCAAGCAAGAAATGCAGATTCGGGCATTAGAGCTACTCAAGCTTAACTCAGTGCCGATACAAATGAAGATTAAGGAAATCTACAATGAACGTCATAGGTAAGTTCCTTGTGCAACTGCTCATTCACTTTTTAGCTTTGCAATTACGTTTGAGTTGGTTTAAAATTTTTTTTTTTCATCATGGTCAGCATTGTTCTTAGGCCTATCTCTTGTTAGATACTAGTTTCAGTTAGGAATTTACGACTATGGCAAATCGTGGCCTATTCTTTGGTCCTAATTGAAAATTTTGTGCAATGAGATGTTAGTGTAGTGAAATTTTGTGTTCGGGGTGGGTATGGAACTAAATGTTGTTTATACTTGAATCAAACTTGAAATTCAGTTAAGTTTTCAACTTTTTTTATATAGACTGGTATATTTTTAATGTGTATTTATTTATGTTTGACCTTTGTTTAAACGACCCAAATACTGAATGGTTGCATGGTTGCAGCAATCATAAAAATGTTATGTAGCCTAAAGTTACTGTCTTTAATTTTAAAATGTCCCAAATCTTTAATTGAAATACATTGTTTATAAATACAATACCCCCAAAACCTTTTTTCCCAGGGCACTAGGCACGAGTTCGGGATCGTTTTTACATTACATCAGACTAGACCCAAGGGTTGTTGCATTATCACTTAGCTAAAATCCATTGGGATTTTAACTTGGGACCCCAGGGACCGAAGTCCCGTACTCTACCACTGGACCAGCTCACTCCCCTACCAGAAACCATTCAAATTAACCATAATTATACTGGAAATGAAAATATATTTAAATTTCCCAGATACTGATTCACCCTTTATGAATAAAGTTTACTCTGTGCTGAGCTGATGCTGTACAATTTGCTTGCTACTGTTTGATTCAGATTATTTTTGTAACTAGTGGCTCATTTAAAAACCGAGTTGTAATATCATTGGTATGTTATAGAAGAACACAACAAGTTCCTCCTGCAACTCCCCAACCTTCGCTTTATGGGCCACCTGCCTTGAGCTATCTACCTGAGGTAGGAATTGTTTACTATTTTTAGTATTTTATTTTTTATAGTAGGTTTTGTTACCTAATGTTGACCATTTGTTAGATAGGATGAATTCAGTATGTGATAGTCTTTTATCTCTAAAGAACATGTTACCACCCTAATTATTGCTGTAAAAATTAAGGTTCAAAAGTTGTTGCAACTTTTGGTCCCGTAAACCCATAAAATATTATAAAAATCGGATAAAAAACTGCTCTACTGGTTTTGATCAAAGAAAATCAGTATGTTAGTCCTTTTTACTCCAAATGTTACAACCCTAATTGCTATAAAAACTACAGTTCAATAGTTATTGTAACTATTATGGCAGTTTTAGCGAATTTCCCATATAGGGAATAAGCTATTACCGTAGTACTCATGGTAAGACCTGGACCCGGGACCGATTTTTTTTTTCGTTTTGAGGTCCCTAGAGGCCAAAAACACCATTCGTTCAAATTCATATCTATATATATTAGAAAAACCAACAACTAAACATTCATTCACATAGGTACTAACAAAATTAACAGCTGTATTTATTCATAACATAATATTTTTGTTTGAAATTAGGTTAACACACTTGAAAATGTCCTTAGAGACGAAACATGTTGTGATTTATTAAATAAAAAAGAATATAAAAAAAGGGTACTCATGTTATTTTACATATTATTTATTAATATATATATATATATATATATATATTTATATATGTGTCCGTTAGCGCGATAACTCGAGCAAAAACGATCCGATTTTGATGAAATTGGGTACAAACGTGTAAACCTACGTTTATTCGAACGAGTTCGCGAACCAGCATGATCGGACCGTGGGATCGGGGGTTTATGGGGGGTTTTATGGGGTAAAAATGGGTTTTTCCCATTTTTGACTCAAAATACATAAAATTTTGCAATTTCTTTCTAAACTATTTTGTAGAGCTTAAAAAAACAAATAATTTAGTATATTGAAGCGTTATAATGCACCTAATCGTTACGGAGAAAATTCCAAAAAATTGTAAATTTAAAATTCCCATGTTATTCTTATGGAGAATAAGTAAACTGTTGTAGTTTGCTTGTTTATTAACATATTTTGCCCAAATTTGGAAAATGTTTTTATTTCTTACTAACTATTAACATTTTACATAAAAAAACACTTTTACCCTCCCTGTTGCAGCAAACCTAAGTATGTGTTAAACTGATTTTATTTAAATAAGGAATGTGATATTTTTAAGGAGACGTTTTAGTGTAAATCCAATCAGGCAAATGGAAATTCGCTTAGTCTGCAGGTTTGCTGCGGCGTGGGTATTTTTTTGTAAAAATCATAGTTACCCATGGTAATAGTTGTTAATAAGCTAATGGGAGAAAGTAGGCGTCAGATTACTTATACTGTTTATTAATTTTTATTTTCAAATCATAAGCCGCATTAATTCTTTTTGAATCTGAGTTATTGGTTCTTTGAAGTTGATTTAATGTAATGTAATTAATTTAATGTAGATACATAGTTAAATTTTATTTGAGCGTCAAAATATTTGTCTTAGACATTTTGAATGTGGAAAACCTGGAATTGTCTTTGAATTTTATTTTTATGGGACACTGGAAACCCCTTATGTGCAATTCATGATTAAAGTGTCTTATTTAAACTCGATGAAGTTAACTAGCCAAGCCTAATTTTGCCCTACTTTAAAAAAATGTCGCTTTGTCCACTAGTTGTACGAATAACCATTTCCACTTCCTCTAGTGTGATTAGGTTGATTTAAAATTTGTAATGATTAATAAAGATGTCATATGTTCTCACTGTGTATAGCAAATGGCCCGAGCGTATGAAAGTTACACCAACGGAAACAATGCGCCAACCGTTAGAACCAACATTGTTACAACCAACCTGCCTGTACTTCCAGATGTTCGACTGAAGCCTCTGCCTTTCTACGAACACATTGCTGAATTGCTCAAACCTTCAACTCTCAGTAAGTGTGGGTTAATTCCCGTTCCTCGGTCAGGATTGTATTTAAATCGGGACTTTTTGGGACGGGATCGGTTACAACTCTCCGCCATTTAGCCGTGATTGTGAGTCATGATGACTAATGATTGGGGAATATCATACCGCCGGTGACAATAATCACTTAGAAGTAAGGTATAGAGTTGTAAACACGCTTATGGAACTACTGTGCACTGGCAGCTCTGGTAGTTGTGCCGGAAATATTCTTGTGACGAGCAAGAAAGAGTCCGTACTGTGACAACTGTGAGGAAATTCCTACCGCACAGGGTCTTCCTCCACCGTTAGCGTTGTAGTACATGAGGGCGATGGGGGCAGTGTTGGACTTTGCCTTGGACATTCAGGACCAGTGCTAGACACCGCTTATGTGTACCATTAAATTTTCCTCTGTACCCTACTTTTCTGTGAAATGATAACGTCGCCGTGATTGCCTAAGATGTTAACAAAATTCTCTGCGATTGCGGGGTTTTCCCATTTTTGACCCTTAAAACAAAAGATTTTGTAATTGCTTTAAAAACCATATTGTAGAGCTTAAAAAAAAATAATTTAGTATTAATTGCTGTTGTATGCGTAACGGTCACAGAGAAAATTAAAAAAAGTGTAATTTAAAATTCCCATGTTATTTTTATGGAGAAAGTTAAAACTGTTGTAGTTTATTTGTTTCTGGATATATGTTGATAAAATTTGGCAAATTTAATAATTTCATCCTATCCTTTACTATTGAGGTATGTTCAAAAACCACCATTTACCATCCCCGTAGCAGCAAACCTTAGCACTTGTTAAATCTAATGGTATTTAAATTGGGAATAAATATGTCTTATTTATTGAATACCTAAAAATGTATTCAGACAAGTAGAAATTCGCTTAGTCTGCCCTGCAGGTTTGCTGTGGCGGAGGTATTATTCTATTATTTGTTGTTTTAATCTATGGTTATTTGAATATTATTGACAGTATTCATTGTACCTTTTGTGAGCAAGCTGGTCTCGTGGTAGAGAGACTTTGATCTCCGAGGTGCTAAGATGTGAAGGTGGGAGGGTAAAAATATTCATTGTATGTCATGTAAAAATTACTTAATAATCATTTTTACCTGAAGAATGAGTCTTAGGAAGTTAAAATTACACAAAAAAGAAACACCTTTAAACTGATATTTCGCCCCTTTCAGGGCCTTCTTCGGAGGTAGAATGGCAGTTACAGTTCAAATGTGTTGTTTTTTTGTGTACTTTTAACCTGGGAATATTTTTTCAGATGAGCTAGCTATCTTTCCTTTCTCCTTAAAAAGTTCTTAGAGCCAAGTTATTTTTTCCTTAAAAAAATAATAATCATTTTATGTTGCACAGTGCCTGTTGGGGGAGCTTTGGTACAGGAACACGAGTTTCCATTCTACTTGACTCCAGCCCAAGTCAACGAACTTGCCTATTATCGAAATGCAGAAATGTCCAACGGTGAACATGTTGTAGAGGTAATCACAGAAAATAAACAGATATTGAATCAGTAAAATTGAGAACAATTTTAAGCTTTATCCATATCAACTAGATTTTTATTTTCTTATTTTGGAATTGTTTTATTTTCCCTGAAAAGTCTAAATCAAATAAAATTAAATCTTTATCGTAATTTAATTAAACATCTATAATGAAAATCAAAGATTCCTCAGGCAATGAATAAAAACAAATCTACCAGCTGATGCTTCTTCAATATTTTAAATGTCATTAAAATCAGTAATTGAAGAAAATTCACCATAGGTGATTTATGTCAAATTATTTAATCTTTTTTACTTTTTTAGATGCAGAATAAAAACATATTCTATGAATCGTAGGGATATGCTGTGGCCTGTATATGCAATCAATGTGTGGATAAATTGTATCAACTCGGTAGTATTATAAAGATTTAATTTAATCGTGAAATATGTGTTTGAGTAAGATGGCATCCTCCTTAAAAACCAAATACACAAATAAGCTGTTAGCTAACTGCAATACTCAAGACTTTCTATTTATGCGTAAAATGTCGTAAATGCAAAATTTGCGTATCATGTGTATACTTTGGTAATACTTATGAAGCCAAACGGGGTGAAGCCCCGTAACAGATAGTTTATTTAATTTCAGTTCTATCAGGAACAGCTTGCATTCAATTAAGTACCATGTGTTTTTCATAACAGCACATTATTGTCAATAATCTTTTGAAATACATAACACAGGAAAAAATATAACTGTCAATGGAAATATGGTTGGCTATTTAAATTTTTAAATCATCTTCCAAATCATTAGACACATATTGATATTATATATCACAATTTAACATTTTTTATTTGTTATAAACCACTTAATGTTTCAGGTACAGATGAGGTTTTGTCGATTTGAGAACACATGTGAGCAAGATGACTGTTTACCAAATGACGTTTATGTGAAAGTCAACACTAAACCCTGTGCTCTTCCTGTAAGTATTTGTAAGTAAGCTAGAAATCATATTACGTTTGTTGCCGTGATTGCAAGAACACAGATTTTGCACAATTGTGTGACACGCTCACTACAATCCTGCTGATTGCAAGTGTAATGTCGTCACTTACGACTGTGGTATAACTTCATGTGAGACTTATCATCCATTAACACAATAACATCATCATCCTTATCATCCACATTAACATCCATGGCTGCACAGACCGAGACCGGGTAGTGAGGCATTCGCTAGACTTAGACTGGAGACTGGAGTAGTGGTAAGGGTGCACACTGAACACACGAGGATTGCGCGGTTGTGGCAGCCAATGGGAATTTATTAAAACATCACGTGACATGATGTCAAAGATGTGGCGTGAATATTGTGTGATGTATCTCTCACATTTATTTTCATTCAAATAAATTTTAACTTTTTCCTTTCAGCCCCTATTGCCTTCAAACCAGTCTAAGGAGAAAAGGAGAATGCCTTACCCAGTGAACATCACTCCACATGTTATTCTGAATGCCACAATCGCAAACGGAGTGAAAATCAAATGGGCTATCGAGGCTGACCAAGGCTACGTCACAGCTATCAACCTTGTCAAAAAGCTCTCAGCCTCGGATCTCATAAAGAAGCTCAGGAACCGAGGCATACGACCTGCTGAATCCACCAGATCACTCGGTAAGCTCATAATTATTTTAATTCACAATAAATAACTCTTTTTGCAATGAATAAAAATTAAAGTGTCAGTAATATAATTATTTATAGATATTTAATTTTACATGGTACATTCACCTCTATTTGTGAAAGATGCATTGTTTGAAGGCACTGTATCTAAAACCATGTCAACGATGATTTTGGACTGCTGTTTCATAGAAAATTTATATTTACTTAAAACTTTCTTATATGTACAGTTTATACATAAAAACAGGTAATTCATTATAGTGGTTTATTTTTAAAATCAAAATAATAGTTAACATTTAAAATCAACTACAGTAGGGTATCAATGCATTTTTAACTACATTATTTGGTTTTCCAAATATTCTCTGAGTGAATACTATTCCTTATCAATTATTTTAATTTTATTTGATCTTTGAATTGTGTAACATTAAGGCCGGCGCCACACTATTCCGTTTCGCCGGTCCGGTCAAACGGGAGCTGTTTTTCAGGATGAACTCATGGGTTTTAATGGGCGTGGTCACATTTTTGTGGTTGTGGTGCGTCGACAGGATCCACTGCATGCTGCTGCGGTGTAGCAGGACGACCGGACGACGGGACAAAAGTCAAAACACATTCAGTTAAATGAGAGCAGCCACACCATCCCGTTGTGCTGCACGTTTATCCCTACTGTTGTCGCTATCAACAGTGCACAGCATGCGATGCTCACGCTCTTCACTCAACGTATGTTGCGGTAGAGCAGAAAGTGTGACAGGGTAATGTCAATGCGGTAAAAGCGCATCCTTCTCAACCGCACGTGATAGTGTGGCAGCGGCCTAAATTATTTTTTATATTTTTGTCAATTTTGTCATTTAAATCTAGGCCTACTGAAAATATAATTTGCTCACTCGTCTTGTTTTGTGTACGGTATTTTAAATTGTACACTCAATCTAAAAGGGATTTAAATTATATATTATCTGAACAGAATATATATTTTAAGGTTTTGACTTTATTTTTTAAATTAAGTGGTAATTCAGGACCAATAATTGACAACATTCATAATTATTCAGACAAACTGCCCATAACATTCTATGCTTACCTTACCCTTTTTAACAGTGTTTTATTTATTTATCCTTATATTTTTTAAATGCTATTCCTGTTTATATGAAACAAAGGTCAACTAGCGTATTTAAGAAATCTTTAAAAAAGTGGCTTTTACCCAAGTCAAACCATGAAACAGTTGTATAATGGTTGTATTCTACCACTATAAACACCTGGGATTCTTTTGCTGGTTATTGTACTAACTTGTTACGGTTGTAGTCAAGGAGAAGTTGCGTGAGGACGCGGACAGTGAGGTCGCTACTACGAGTCTGCGCGTGTCTCTAATGTGTCCACTGGGACAGATGAGGATAGTGGTGCCTTGTAGACCTACCACCTGCACACATCTACAGTGCTTCGACGCACGTGTCTACATACAGATGAATGAGCGCAAGTCTACGTGGACATGTCCCGTGTGCAGCAAGCCGGGGGATTTTGATAAACTATTCATTGATGGGTACATAGTTTGATCATTTTATTTTTATCTTGTGACCACAGATGCCTTTAGTATTTTTGAGGTTATTTGTAAAAGAACAGTCCAAACCCTGGTTTTGTTACTACCTTTTGCTAGATAGCATAATGAATTGATAGTTAAATGACAGATGGCATCTGGGTCTAGAAACGATCTTGCTTGGAATTGAACCAAGACCTTCAGGTTTAAAAGGTCAGCTTTATATCTGATCTCATCTGGTTATTCTGGGGCATAACAGTGGGCTGTATTAACAGTTCCATTGAAATTACAAACCTTTGGTGGCAGACTATTTTTATTTGGTATAGTGTGTGTAAGATTAAAATAGTAATTGAAATTGATAGATTATATGTCAATTAATAATGGTTAATATATTATGTCAGAGTGTTCTTTTACAAAAAGTGTTGAGTTAAAAGTGTCCTTTTTCTTTATAGTGCTCTTTTATGACATTTTGAAGTGCTCTTTTACAATAGGTACATTATGTTAAAGGTATATTTCACAGTAGATTATGTTAGTGTCGTAAATTTTGCAGGTATTTCCATGAAGTGCTGAATAGTGACAAGTTGCCTTTGGATGTGAATGAGGTTGAGTTGCTGCAAGATGGCTCATGGATCTTTGTCAAAGAAGAAATATTAGAAAATACATCTAGTGCTGCGGTAAGAAATGTTGATTGATATGGATGAATAATGAAGATTCTTTGTACAGAAATGTTTCTTAATTTGTTGTTGTCTTCAGCACTAGGCATTTAATAAAGTTAGGCCTATTGTTAGGAACCGGTTTGAAATCTAGATCGTTGCTAGCATCGACCTGTTGTTTAGAAACATAATTAAAAGTAATGACAAGTGAATCAAAAACAGATTGTACTATAGATTTATTGGTAATCTTGGGACTTCTTGATATCACCCATACTTGGCCAATAGCCATTGATATCCGTATCGAGAATCCATCGTCAAAAGTCAATTCCGCTACCTATACCCGTCACGCCCGCATGATCGTAAAATTTAAGCATGTATGTTGTGGTACTTTCCAGTACAAAACAATTTTTAAGATTCTTACCTAATCATAAATTTGCTGTAAATTACATTTAGGTATCACAATTGTCCCTTATCACAGTAATAGTGTGATCATCTACCACACATGTCGAAATCGTGAGTATACCCTGTGTTCATCGTCTCTTGCGATCACGGAGATATCATTATCGTCTTCCACGATTGTGGTAAAATCCTGAACGTAACTCACAGTCGTTTGGACATCACCATTGTCTTCTGCGATTGCCACCAAATCCTTGACATATCCCATGGTTTTGTGGACATCATCATCGTTTTATGGGAAAAAAATAAAAATGGTAGTTATCAATGTATCAATTATTATCTGCGATTGCGGCGAAATCCTGGACATTTTCTACTGCAGTTGTGTAAACATCTTGATTGTCTCTTGCGATAATGGAAACGTTGTCATCGTCATCCGCAATCGTGGCAAAAGGACAAATTTTGTTGATAATCTTTGTAGACGTGACTTACAATTGTGTGTGTAAAAGCTTGGCTAGAGCTCATTTTTCCGACTTGGTGCTGATCCCTTGTCCGCTCACTCATCTCTAGTTATTGGGCCACTGATTAATGACACAATCTAACAAAAGGTCGACGTTAGCCAGTTATAAGACATGAGTTTAGACCGTTCTCATACAAAAAATTTAAGAACATGTGGGTGAATTAAAACAAATTAATAAAAAAACAGTGTTCTCAGGTACAGCAAGCTAGCTAAACACCATCTAAAAATAAAACTGAATCAGCCACACGGCATTACATAATTATTCTATTACTTTCTATATTTTAATTATTCTATATTTTCTATGTTATGAGTCATACTTAAAACTCATTTTCACAGGCCAAGAATCGTAAAGGTCCTCCAGTCCTGATGGAAGTACTAGAAATAACAGATGATGGTAAGTCAAGTTTATGAGTATTCTCTTATGGTTACATTGTTAACAATTAATTGGTAGTCAAAGATTTCTTGCTCGGTTTTAATTAAGGAGTGAATCCTTCAAGCCACAAACACTGATATACATAATCATGAATGCTAGGGAGCATAACGTAACTGCTGAAAACTGTGTTTGATCTGTGCTACAACTTGGAGGACAAGTTTTCTATGTTAAGGCGTTGTCTCTCCTGTCAGAAGGCAGCACTGTACATATATTTATTTATCTATTGACGGAAAACTCAATTTTACATGTGCATACAAAGATGGCAAAACGTTACATTTCAGACTTTAAATAGAAAATTGAGTGCATAACTCCTGTCCTGGTCAGATCTCGTGTGTCACTCTTGAGTTTATCTGGTGAGAGAAGTCCAATTATAAACTATGAAAGACTCAAGTGAATTTTGCTGTGTATGGGTGGATTCTTCCTAAATTACACCTCTGATCAGACATTTTGCTGCGTTTAGCGAATTTCCTCTATAGGTGGTAAAACCTAGAACTGGGATGGATTTACTATTTTATTTTGATGTCCCCAGAGGCCAAGACAAATATTTTGTATAGGCCTATGTATGTGTGTCCAGGTCTTATTTTGACAAAATTTGGCTTAAATGTGTAGAGTTTTGTGTTGTAGGATTTTATTTTTTTTTATTTTATAAAAATTTAAATATGAAAATGCTAACTTTTTAAAGTTACAGAAAATAATAAAAATAAAATTCCCATGTTATTTTATTTTTATGGGAAACAGTGAAAGTTTGCTTGTGTATGGATGTATTTTGATCAAGGGTATCATCGTTAAGGAAATGTAGTTTGTAGGATTGGACAAATGAAAATCCACTTAGTCATGTAACAGGTTTGCTGTAACGGGAGTATATTCATCCTTACTGCGCCTGTGTCCAATTCAAAATTATTCCTAAACACTTCCTCCTTCCATTACACTACTAAATTGGATCTGTGTATTCACTAAAAAAGGGAAAACGTAAAAACTGACATTTTCAAATTAATAATCCCTGGTGCTCAAAGGATTATTCATTTTCAGCGTTAACATTTCTTTTGCAGATATAGTGCCTTTAGATGTGAGCTCAGACAGTGAAGACATCAAGACTAAGCCTATGCAGCCTATGCAGGTCGCCAACGCACTCACTGTAGACTTGACTGCGAGCGATGATGATGATGACATTAACACATTAGCACCTGTAAACATTAACACTCCCTATAACAAGACTGACATTGGTATGTAACAATGGTGATGGTCAAGTGCTAAGTTCAGTTAGGAGAAAGATGCGATAAACTGAGAAAATTCATGGGAAGTGGATTCATCTAGATAATACAGTAGATAGACAATAGGAGCTGTTGGCCCGTCCTAGGTACGGGAATCGAGGAGTCAATTAAACTAAATATAATTCAGAACAGCTAGTTTAAACGCATAACAGATTCTGGCAGTTTTAATTGGGAAAATCATCTTGAAAACAAATGTCCCGTGGCCACCTATTTATTTCGGAATTTGTTGCCATAGTGTAACCTTTTTTTTTTTTGTAGGTTTCCTCCATTAAGGCGGAACAAGGAATACACATACATCTAGATTTTCTTTCAATTTTCAAATCCTTAACATTAAAACTTTACAGTTTGATTTATTTCAAAGGCCTTTTTAATATTAATCATACAACATATTATTATATTATATATATCAAACTAAATACCCCTGCCACAGCAGGGTTTCAGGAACTTCTTTGACTATTTCTGCAAGGTAAGTTAAGGGTTTACTACAAACAATTAACATAATTAGGAGCGTTCAGATAAATGTTTCAACAGATGTCTAAACATTTTTCTGGTTGACATTTCATTATTTGTTATTCTGAAGAGATGGTTCTGTCAAGAGGTTGGCAAGAATCACTCAACACTTGATTTAATCGAAATTTAATAGTTTTACTTCACTTTCAAGTCTAGTGAGCCCTTGCGACATAGACAAGTTATATTTTTTTCTTATCTCGTTCACCTCCTTAATGATTTGTGCCAGATCCGAAGCGTCTGTGGTTCAAGGACAACTCATCAGTTCTGGGCCCAGAGTTGTTCACGGAGTCGTTCACCAGTACGATCGAAACACGCTCAGAACATGAATAGCAGTACCAATTTATTCCTTTCATTTGAAAAATACTCTTGAAATTATCGAAATTGGTTTTTGAAATGCTCGATATAACACCATTTTTACACCACCCGTAACACTTCACTGTGTTATGATGATTCTGGACTATTTTATCACACAAGCCACAAACACTTTCAGATTCGCTACCCTGCCGTCTTGCAGAATATTCTGAACAGGCTTTTAGTAAACTGAAAAATTTCAAAGGTCTTTAAGTAAACAATTATTGAAGTTCAGGTAGAAGGTCTGAATAAAGTGATAGACAGGACGGTGATGACAAATCAACAAGAAGGTGTAGGCGTCAATAAAGCACTGAATGATAGATGACGTTATAATGACAAAAATCATAAAAGATTAGGTAAAAAACCTGTAAAACCAATTAAACGTATATAAGTAGATAGGTCTGACAACCAAAGGTTTTGCTTTGTGTTGTTCTTAACATCCCACTTATCAACTTCTGATTGTTTCAGACAAAGTGGGTTTCGGCAGTATGAGACCTAACCTGTTGATTCAAGACATAATCGATCTAGACTCGCCCCCTAACTCACCCCTTGGATCATCAGGCGAACCACAATTCCCCATGAAGACTGCCCCAGTGCAATGGGATGCTGCCCCAACGGCACAGTGCCAAAATCAGACTCTGCCATCATTCTTCAACACAGAACCAAACATTCCATGAGGTAAGAATTAAAATTTCCGTAAATCTTGCCGGGAAAGTCACTAAACGTTGTTTCACTAAAAGATTGACAGTTTCAGGCTAAGTATGTGAGATGTACCTATCACATGTGCCTAGACTTTTACTTTACACTTAGTTATTGGCAGGGTTGCCACCAGCCATGAAAACCTTGAAAAGCTTGAATTATGCATGAATTCTTGTGACCATGAAAAAAGGCATGGATTATGCATGGATTTCTCCAATGGGCCATGAATTTTCAAAATCAGGAACAATTATTCAACCAGTACCATTACATTTTCCAAATAAAAAAAATTTCATATTTAAAAACAGTTCATAGAAACGAACACCATGAAAATACTGTGTGAAGATGATTATTTAACATGTTTCATTTTTAAGAGTTGTTAGCCTCCGGATTACGTTTGAATATTTATAATGGTTTAAATACCTGCATTCAGTAATCCATTATGCTGCTTGTGGCAACTATAGTTTCGGTTCACAGGGAACCATCTTCAGGCCGTACAAGGCTCAAGAAAACTACAGGCCCACAAACTTCAAATTTCGCAGAGCATTTAATTTCACTCAACCACAACTATGTAAACATAAATAGTAATATGGACGTTTTACATCTTTCTCAAGACCGATCAACCATTAACACTTATGAAGAATTTGAAATATACAAGGCAGTCAAAACAGATGGTCAAAATGTTTTAAATGACAAACTCTCATTCCAATCGAATTCCATTTATAACACCGCAATCAAAATACTGGATGGGGGAGGAGGAGAGAAGGAATGAATGCGAGCCGGCAGTGATAAGGAGACAATGGCTGACGTCATACCGTTAGACCACTGACCACCAGTTCGAGCTACAACTTCCACCCGGTCGCGTCACCTGTCTCGTGTTCCCGAGTACTCGGTATTTTTAATGTTAAATGTTCGTGTCAATGTATGTTTTCGTGTGTTCGTGTTTTATGTACTTATGACGACCTTCATATATGGAAGTGAATAACGACGCCTTGTACGGCCTGAAGATGGTTCCCTGTGAACCGAAACTATAGTTGCCACAAGCAGCATAATGGATTACTGAATGCAGGTATTTAAACCATTATAAATATTTAACATGTTCCTCGATCAGAAACAATTGTTTAGTTCATTCCAAGTCATCCCAAAGATGCTGATGTCAGTTGAGACTTCCTGAGGACTATATATAGTTCGAAAAATCATTAGTAGGCGTACCCCCGCGTATGAAAAAGGGGTATGGGGACTTAAATCACAAAAACAGAAGTTTTAGACCATGCAGGGATTTGAAACGGGGTGCGAAATAAAAACCAAATTTCCGACTCTGACGCCTGTTTTTTTTAGCTTGTTGGATAAAACCATCATATCCTAGTAGGTTGTGGAATAAGAGAAACCAGAGTGCACATTTTATGACATTCATGTAGGGGATAAAACAGGAATTTTTTGGCCAGGTGAGTTGGATTTTTGTTTTATTTCGGTGGAAAGACTGAATTAAACCTAGACTTAATATATTTTACAATTATTCTCCAATATCTCATATAGAATAGCTGGACCTGTTTTGTTTTCAACTTTGTTTTGAATGTTTATAAATCACTCTTAAAAAGTTGTATATTAAGTATGAAAGGTTATTGAAAAGTAACACACAAAGAAACTGCATCTTTAACATCAGTTTATGAAATCAGCAAAACTCAATTGTGTTGAAATTGTATAAGCGCATCGACCATGAATTCTTTTAAACTACCAATGAAAACCATGAATTCTGCATGAATTTTATCATCCTACTATGGTGGCAACCCTGTATTGGGTAACCTCAACACATTTAGGTACTAGATCGTGGAAGCACTTTATTTTGGCTACTACAAACAACCACAACCGTAAAAGTGAAATAATTATTTTCACTAAACATTGTAAGGGCATGTTACCCTTTTAGCGAATTTCCCTAGAGGGAAGTAGCTATTACCGTAGGTGGCACGGTAAGACCTAGGCCCGGGACCGATTTACTTCTTCATTTTGATGTCCCCAGAGGCCAAAAACACCATTCGTTGAAATTTGTATATATGTATAGTATATACATATATATATATATATATATATAGAGAGAAAGAGAGAGAGTTATATATGTGTCCGTGAACACGTTAACTTGAGTAATTGTTGTCCCATTTGATGAAATTTGGCTTGAAGGTGTAAAGCGGGATAAACTTGAATGAGTTCGTGAACCAGCATGATCAGACCATAGGAGAAGAGCTTAAAAAACAAATGATTGAGTATATCAAAGTATTTTTGTATGGATATTGGTAACAGAGAAAATTCATAAAATTGTAAATTTACAATTATGGGGAATATTGTATAATGTTTTAGTTTGCTTGTTTATGGATATATTTTGATCAAACTTGGTAATTTAATTTATTTTATACTAAGCTATTAATATTTTACATAAAAACAAAATTTATTAGCAGCAAACCTAGGTACTCTTTAAACCACACGTTATTTAAATAAATTTTATTGAAAATTAATTCAGGCAGATGAAAATTCGCTTAGTCGACAGGTTTGCTGCGGCGGGGGTATTTTTTGTAAGTATGGGTTGGTTGTAAAGAGAAGAAAAATTCCATTTTTTTGTTAAAAATGTATCATTAATGGGAAATAAATATGTATTTCATTTCTTCCATCTGCACAGTTAAAAAAATGAGTTTCGGTTCTTTCATCGCACAAAAACTACTAGACCAGTTGTTATATATTATTATATCTGTTAGTCTGGACTCATTAATTAATTTTATTTCTATTTACAGCTGATGTAATATTTTCAATTCTAAGTTTGAGAAATGAATAAAAACAAGACATTATTTTTAGTTCTTACAATTATGTGTTATAATTATTTAATTCAATAAGTACGTAACACCAGTCAAGATGACCGTTCTACTAAAGCCTATCTTGTACAACTGTTAAATAATTTTTGTTTTCCAGATTGTGTGGACCAACCCATTTGGCGATATTGGTGATTTCTCATGATCTCCTGACAACCTGTTTCTCTGACTGTGATGGTAGTTGTGTATAAATAAGCTACGATTACCTTGTCCATGTTGTGGTGGACCTAAATGTAAAAAGTCATCCAGAAGTTTGGAAATTTCATTTGAAATATGATAAATGCAAGTGTGTTAGTTAATTGTGGTGGTTATTGCTTGGGACAAAGCCATACTGATAGTTGGCTTTTGTCTTGGTTTTGGCAGAAAACATTTTAAATGTTGAATTTGATTGTTTTACTAGTATTTGTAGTAGAAAATGTGTTTATAAATAAGTGGTTTAACAACCGCATAACATAAATCATTTTTTGATTCATCTAAAAAAATTTTTTTAATATGTGCTATTTGAAATTTTTGTTTTGATTAGTAAAACCCAAGGTTAGCCTAATCTGTTTAACCCAGCAGAAGTTGCTATGGACAGGAAAATATTAATTCTTTTTTGACCAGTTAAACTAAGCCTTTATTAGTAAAAGATATTCTAAAAAAATAAATAAAAATGCCTTTACTTGTAAGTTTTTCTCATATATCAGATTTTTTAACTATTGTCAACTGAATTTTTCAAGTGATCATTGCTCTAAATTCAAATTGACACTTTGAAATATTTTATGATTTATACAACATAGAAAAATTGCTCCAGAAGGAATCAAGTCATAAGGCACAATGTGCCTTAGACTAAGTAGAACGGAAAATATTTTTCATCACTCCGTAACGAAAGTAACTATTTTCGATAACAGCTGATATCAATGAAAGTAGTCGTTTCCCAAGCTCTAATTTGGGGCGAGGGAAAATCGATCAGCTGATTTTCCCTCGCTCTAAATTTACTTTCCCTCGCTCTCAATTAGTTCTCCATTTATTCACTACACGCGCTAGTGTTTTGTTACGGTTTAATTTAATGATTTGAATCAGCTGTATGTATTGTTAAAAGTTGTTTTATTCTTTTATTTTCATGTTTAAACAAAATTTATTGAGAAATATACGTAGGGTTCCTTTAAGAAGATTCAATTTTATTTTGATGTTCAATCAAATTAATTGAGAAATAAAATATTTGTAATACTACTGAGGTCTGCTATTCTGTGTTTGTGTATTTTTGCGTCGTGATGAAAAGTATCGTTCATAACTCGTACCGAAAGTTATTATCCGGCACTTGCTCCACTATTCCCGTCCTCGGCTTCGCCTCGTACGTGAAAATAGCTCTCACATACTCGGCTTCGCCTCGCACGTGAAATTAAGGTTCCCTGTGTTCGGCTTCGCCTCACACAAAAACTTGAGCGCGCGACGGAAAATGCCACTTTCGGTCCTAGTAATGAAATATACTATTTCCACACATTTTAAGTATCACCATGAGAAAAGAATAATCAAACTTCAGAGCAACTGGTCTTTTAAGGAGACTTATTCCTTCAGACTAAATTAGGATGAAAACAACTTTCAATGAAACAATAAGAGTTTAAAATAGATTAAAGGACACTACAGCATTCTAAAATTGATGTGACGTGTAGTGTGACGTGCATGTCTCTGCTGTCAGATTAAAACTGACAATAGGTTAACTACTTAATTCTTATTTGCATTGACGACACACAACGGATTTCAGCAACATAAACAGACATTATTAAACAAAGTTAAGTTAAATGTAACTGTTATTTTCAAACAATCAGTGCGGCTACAGCTGTTTCATACTCAATATGAGTACATTATCAGTATCATGTCCAAACAGTCAAATTTCTTTATTTTCTCGCTAATCCTTGACAATCAAATTCATTGGCCTCATGATCTATTTATACTAAACAGTGAATATGAAACAACTGTGGTCATGCTATCTACAAAGGATTGTTTGAGAGTAACACATTAACATTAAACCTTAAATTTTCTTACTATAGTTCGGCCGCTTAGAAAACGACCTGCGCGCTAATGCTAAACCAATGCTGGAGGAGGTCGCTTTCTAAGCGGCCGAACTATAGACAATCCAGAGGCTATTCTATCTATTAGACTTCTAATTTCAAATTAAATTACAATTAAATGTCATATGTAACATCTAACGATGCTACACTAGTTGCTAAAGTTGTCATGAATGTATAGCCAAATGAACTGTTAGAAGAGGTAACTGCATATGCCCTGCTTATTAGTAAGGCTGTAGTGGGTTTAACCTTTAATTTAAACTTCTAAAAAAATACCCAATTGTTGACAGTAATGGCTGAGCATGAAAAATAATATCACCCATGGAACATTTTAAATTCATCGCATAATGATAATTTTCCAAACGCAAGAAAATATTTCTAATTAGCCTAGTTGTTGTAACACCAAAATTCACAAGCAAGTATTTATAAATCATATTTCTTATACTTTCTGGATGGCTAACAAAGTTTTTAGTATAAAATTATTTTACTACATGGTTTGAAACGTTTGATTGTGATTCATTGTATTTTTATAAAATCTGAGGTTACACCTCATAGAGGATAATTTTTTATGATAATAGTCATAGTGGTTTTGTAGTCGTAATTTCTAAGTTGAAGTTAATTTTTTCATACTATTTTGTTACAATTAGTCATTAGAACTGATTTTGTTAGATATATAATAGGGACGAAGTAGGTGCCTTGTACTAAGAAACAGTCAACTTATAATTTGAGAATTTTTTCCTGCTTTGTATAAATTTGTTTTAAGTCTGATGTCGGGATTTTAGAATAAGTTGTGGATCCTAATACTTATGTTATTGATATAATCGTCTTGGTTCCTAAAAGGCATTATAGTGTTTTCTCTAACAAAAAAAAACACTTGTCATAAATAGTTAAGTGTGTAGGATAAACCAAAAGAAATTTTTGTTCTTTTAAGACATAAAGCAAAGAAAATGCCATGGACTGAATGGTAAAACTACTTGAGATAAGGACAAGTATTAAGTTTTCCTGGTCCAATAATTCACTTTTTTCAGTGATAAAGTAAAATAAGTATATTACATTACAAAGATAAACTAAATTTGTTTATTTCTTACAGAGTATGTACTATGTAAGACAAATAGATTACTGTTATCTGAAACTAAATATTAAATCAGTTAAATACAAGGTTATTGTGTAAAAAAATCTATTGGAACGTCAATAACCTGACTACAGCTTATCATTTATAGTTAATTATTATTACTTTTTTATCAATCACTTTAAATTAAAAACCTTGATAAGAACACCCCCTCAATTTTCTCATATAATTGAAGGCTTTTACTCTTCAAAAACATTATACAAACTACTATGCAAACCTAAATGGATCTGAGATTTATTAACAACTTCAGGTTTATCTCTAAGCATATCTGAGAAAAATATTATAGGTAATGAAAGTTATCAAACGAATTTTAACTATAAACCTTTAAAACATATTGCATTCTGAAACTCGCATACATATTGTGGAAATGTAATCAAAATTGTTTTAGACCTTTTCGAAAAAAATTAAGATTGTTTGATTTTTCTCATTTCAGGGGTTTACTTTCGTTAGGTACCCTTGAGAGAAAAAAAAAACTGAAAACATGTGCTGTTTATGTAGACAACATAACTTTTAAAACTTAAAAAAAATTTGAAAAGGCAATACTTTCTCTGTATAGTATTGGTTGAAAAAATTCAGTATGAAATAATGACGTTTTTAATAAAAACTGTTGTAAATTGTAATAATATTTTCTTAGGTACAGTAATAGTTTTCTTAACCCTTCCCGAGTGGCGGCTGCAGGGTGAAACCCTACTTACTACGTGATCAATAATTTGGTTTAAGGTTAAGAAATTGATTTCTAAATCTTGATGTTTTCCACCAACAATAATAGGCTTATTAATTAATGGAGCAAGTCAAGTGTCTCATGGTATGTCCCTGTTATAGCTATAAAAGTCGAAGAGGCAGTTTTTGTCTGGGCTTGGTACCATAGGTATAAAGAACAAAAACAAAGTAAAAATACCCCTGTTGCGGCAACCTAAGCGACCTTCCCCGTACTAAGTGAATTTACATTTGTTTAATGGTAATTTTTGCTTTAGTATTTCCGTAAACATGTCAGATTTATTCCCTATTTAATTTTTATTCCAAGGCCTGAATGAGAAAATAAAATTTTACCCCAAAAAACCTTGTTCTCAAGTCCGATCAACATGCCAAATTCAACCCACAATTTTTTAATTTTTTTTCGGACTCACTATTGAATGAATGATGATTTTGGTCTCTTTTGGCCTCTTGACACATCAAAATTAATCAGAAAGTTAATAAATAAATAATGGTTTAAATACCTTATACTGTTAAGTGATCCTTTGTAGTCCAAATATAGGCTACTGCAGTTTCGTTCCTGATAGGAACTTCATCAAGCTGTCAGGACATCAAATATTGTTCCAGAGGAAGTCGTAGTTAAAATCCATCGATACATTTAACACATGGGTGTAAATGTATCGATTACATGACCATTATTTATTAATTTTTTTAATTACCACTGGGCTACCTAAGAATACCAACTGCTTGATTATTTAACAAAAGTTCAGGTCTGTCTAGCAACTTGTGATAACATTGTTAGGGATTGGACTCAACAGAAAATAACCTTGTAATTACCATGAAGTAAGTTTATTGTAGGCTATATAGAAGTAAATACATAGCAAGCATACATAAAACTTACTCCCCCCTACTCCAAAACACGCGTTTCAACGCTCACATGTGTACGGCCCCATTAGAACCATTGTAGCTGAAGGTGTGCTGCTAAAAGGCGTTTCACGAAGAACCTCTCAGGCGCAATGAGCGCCATGTAACATGTGTTGCAATGCTTCCATGAGTACAGGGTGTAAGGTAACTGTTGACGGCCAAGAAACAACTTTAAAATACATACATACGTTAACATGTTTTGGCATATATATGCGTCATACGCTTGTGCCCTACATGAGTCGTGAATAAATATACAGCCAACGCTCGGGAATGGTTAGTTTCTAATTGTTTTCTGGAAACTTAATATTAGTCCTTATATCTTACGATCAATTATTGCTCATACCAAATGTTAGATTAGATGTACAGTAGTTTCGCCAAAGTTAAGATGTTTTATTCTAGTTCATTTATGAATTGTTTGATTTATGTTACCAGTTTAAATTACATACATAAGTGATTTACTTTGTGTCCTTTTTCCTTTTTCATATTTTGTTTGTTTGTTCCTCAATGGTAAAATACTGTACCACCACTACAGTAGGCTAACTGATGAGTGATGACATGTTTCATTTCAAAAATTTAATAATAGGATGTAACCTTGAATATATTTTTTGACAATTAATAGCTTTTACCAAAGGTTATCCCTCTTATTCTTTGGATTCCATTTGTTTACCTTTGTTAAAAAAAAGTCTGTTGAATCATCTATTCAGTTTAAATAACGGTGTAGGTTACATTTTCTATTTGATTATTAAATATAAGTGCTGTTAACAGTTTATCAGTTGAACACCTAATAACTCTATTCCACACAAAAAATTGTTTTGCAATGAAGAGGAACGTACCTTTTAAGTATTCTAAATAATGTAAACATTTAATTTTTTTAAATAAAATTGTT